TCTTCTTTCGTAAAGTGTCTGTTCATATCCTTTGCCCACTTTTGAATGGGGTCTATAGGGGGAAAAGGGGAGGGCCAGTGGGAGGGGGAGGTGGGGAGGGATTGCCAGGGGAGAAATACCAAATGTGGGTGAAGGGGAGAAAGCAAACAAAACACACTGCCCTGTGTGTACCTATGCAACTGTATTGCATGCTCTGCACATGTACCCCAAAACCTAAAATGCAATTAAAAAAAAAAAAGTGGGAGCTAAGCCATGGACATGCAAAGACATATAGAGTGATATAATAAACACTGGAGATTCACAGGGGGAGAGGGCGGAAGTTGAGTGAAGGATGAAAAATTACCTATTGAATATAATGTACACCATTTGGTTGACAGGTATACTAAAATGCCTAACCTCAGCAATATACAATTAATGCATGTAATCAAAAACCACTTGCACCTCCAAAGCTATTGAAATTTTTAAAAATTGCTTTTATTCCAAAAAATTATGGAAACAATAAATTATAAAAATAATAACACAACATGTCAAAATCTATATGATATAGAAAAATCAATTCTGAGGGAGTTTATAGCAATACACACCTACATCCAAAAAGAAAGACGATCTTAAATAACCTACGGCTGCAAAAGTAGGCAAAAATACAAAAAGTAAGCCAAAGGTTATTAGAAGGAAGAAAATAATAAAGATCTGAGCAGAAATAAATAAAACAGAGTCAAGAGAAACAATACAAATTTCACAAATCTAAAATTTGGTTTTTTTGAGAAGATAAACAAAATATACAAAAAGTTTAGCCATAATTAGAAAACAGAAAGAAGACCCAAATAAATTGGAAATTTAAAAGGAGACATTACTGACACAACAGAAATAGAAAGGATCATAAGAGACTTTTATGAACATAAAAGTTATATACATAAAAAATTGGATAACCTAAAAGAAATGCACGATTTCCTTGATGCTTACAACCTACTAAATTATGTTTCTTTAGCACATGGTTTTGCAGTCAGGGAAGTTCAAGGTTGGGCAACTGCATCTGGCAAAGGCTTTGTTATGATTTAGAAGAAACAATTCATATTGAAGAAATAATTCATGAGATTGAATTATGAAGAAATTTAAACAGATCAAAAATGAATAAGGAGTTGAATCAGTTAAAAAAAAAAAAGCCCAGAACCTGGTGGCTTTACTGCTGACTTTTATCAAACATGTAATGAAGAACTAAAAACAATTATTTTCAAATTTTTCCAAAAACTTGAAGAGAACAAAACACTTTTTTTTTTTTTTTTTTTTTTAGATAGAGTCTCATTCTATTGTCCAGGCTGGACTGCAGTGGTGTGATCTTGGCTCACTGCATTCTCCACCTCCCAGGTTCAACTGATTTTCCTCCCTCAGCATCCAGAGTAGCTGGGATTACAGGCATGTACCACCAGGCCTGGCTAGTTTTTTGTGTCTTTAGTAGGGACAGAGTTTTGCTCTGTTGGCCAGGCTGGTCTCAAACTCCTGGGATCAAGCAATCCACTTGCCTTGATCTCCCAAAGTGCTGGGATTACAGGTGTGACACAGCATGCCCAGGCTGGAAACACTTTTAAAAAAATATTACAAGGCCAGCATCATCCTAATGCTAAACAGAAGCATATTACAGAAAAGAAAAATTCAGGCCAGTACACCTGATGAATATAGATGCAAAAATCATCAACAAAATACTAGCAAACTGAATTCAATGGCATATTAAAAAGATCATTCACCATGATCAAATGAAATTCATCCCAGGGATGCAAGGATGATTCAACTTATGTAAATCAGCAAATGTGACACAACACATTAACAGAATGTAGAGCAAAAACCATATAATTATTTCAACAGGTGCAGAAAAAGCATTTGACAAAAGTCAATATCCTTTCATGACAAAAACTCTCAACAGATTACATATGGAAAAATTGTACCTCAACACAATATCGGCCATAGATGACAAACCCAAAGCTAACATACTCAACAGGAACACTTTGAAAACTTTTACTCAAAGATCCGGAGTGAGACAAGGATGTTCGCTCTCTTCGCTTCTCTTCAATATAGTATTGGACATTTTAGCTAGAACAATTAAGCAAGAAAAAAAGGTGTCCAAACTGGAAAAAAAAAAGGTAAATTGTCCCTGTTTGCAAATAGTACACACACACACACACACACACACACACACACACACACAAACTGTTAGAAATAATAAGCAAATTCAGTAAGGTTATAGTATATACAATCAGTATATAAAAAATCAACACTTTGTAAGAGCAAACTATCTGAAAAAGAAATCAAGATAACAATTCCATTCAAAATAGCAACAAAGCATGAACAATTAGAAATAAATTTAACCAAGGAGGTAAAATATCTCCACACTGAAAACTATATGTATAACATTGGTAAAAGAAATTGAAATAATACAAATAAATGGAAAGATATCCTGTGTTCACAGTTTAGAAAAGTTAATATTGTTAAATTATCCATACAACTTGCTATATTTTAAACATAATTTATCCCACCAAAATACATGTTGAATCATGGTTCCCAATGCAACAGTACTAAGAGGTAGTGGGACCTTAATAGGCCTTTGGATCATGAGGGACTCACCCTCATTAAGGGATTAATGCCATCTCTCAGGAAAGTATGAGTTATCACTCTCACAGGACTAGATAAGTTACCACAAGAGCAGGTAGTTATAAAGTGAAGTCACCTGTTTGGTTTGGTCTCATCTTGGCATGCTTCCACTTGCTCTTGCACATGTTCATGCCATGTGATGCCATCCACCTTGTAATGATGCAGCATAAAGCCTTTGCCAGATGCAGTTGCCCAACCTTTAACTTCCCTGTCTGCAAAACCATGTGCTAAAGAAACTTCTTTTCTTTATAAATCATTCAGTCTCTGGTATTCTGCTGGGGCAATACAAAATTGACTAAAACACTCCCCAAAAAATCGACAACTTCAGTGCAATCCCTAACAAAATATCAATGGCATTCTTCACAAAAATAGAAAAAAAAAATCCTAAAATTTATGTAAAACCAACAAAAAAACTTGAATAACCAAGGAAATGTTGAGAAAAAAATAATAAAGCTGTAGGCATTGCAGTACCTAACTTGAAAATATACTACAAAGCTACAAGAACAAAAACAGCATGGTATTGGCATAAAAGCAGACACACAGACCAATGGGAAAGAATAGAGAACCCAGGAATAAATCCATATATTTACAGTTAACTGACTTTCAACAAAGGTCCAAGAACACACAATGGGAAAAGGAAAGTCTCTTTAATACATGGTGATGAAATAAAAAAAATAGACAATTGCATATAGATAAGTGATATTAGACCCTTATCACATGCTGTATATAAAAATCAACTCTAAATGGATTGAAAACTTCATTGGAAGACCTGAAACTATGAAACTATTAGAATAATATTAGGAGAAAAGTTATTTGGCATTAGTCTGGGCAATGACTTTTCGAATATTATCCCAAAAGCACAGACAACAAAAGCAAGATAGACCAATGGGGTTACATCAAACTAACACCTGAAGAGACAGGACACAGAATTGGAGAAAATATTTGCAAACCATATATCTGACAAGGGATTAGTATCCAAAATGTATAAGGAACCCAAACAACTGAATAAGAAGACAACAATCTGCTTAGAAAATGGCAAAGGACCTAAACAGACATTTCTCAAAAGAAGACATTCAAGGCCAGGTGTGGTGGCTAATGCCTGTAATTCCAGCACTTTGGGAGGCCTAGGTGGGCAGATCATGTGAGGTCAGGAGTTTGAGACCAGCCTGGCCAACATGGTGAAAACCTGTCTCTACTAAAAATACAAAATTTAGCCAGGAATGGTGATAAATGCTTGTAGTCTTAGCTACACAGGAGGCTGAAGCAGGAGAATCACTTGAACCTGGGAGGCAGAGGTTGCAGTGAGCCAAAATTGTGCTATTGCACTCCAGTCTGGGTGACAGAATGAGACATCATCTTAAAAAAAAAAAAGAGACTGAAATAGTGAAGTAGTATATTAAATATGTTCAGTGTCACTAATCAGGGAAATTTAAATCAAAACCATAATAAGATATCTTCTTACTCCAGTTAGAATGACTATAATATTATCAAAAAGACAAAAGACACTAGCAAGACTAAAGTACTAGCAAGAATGTGGGAAAAAATACACCCTTGCATACTGTTGATGGGAATGTAATTAGTACATCCTAATTACACTATGAATAAAATACAAAATTATCAAAAATATGAAAAATAATATTGAAAAAATATGAAAAATATGGAAAAATATTAATGGAATTAATATTTAATTCATAATATGTAATTATGAAAAAATATTAATGGAATTACCATATGATTCAGGAATCCTACTACTGGGTATATATCCAAAAAGAATGAAATCAGTATGTCAAAAGATATCTGCACTTGTATATCTATTGGAGCATTATTCACAAGATCCATGACACAGAGTCAATTAAGTGTCCACCAGTGGATGAATGGACAAGCTGTGTATATACACAATGGAATACTATTCAACCATAAAATACATGAAAACCCTGCCATTTGCTATAGCATGGACGAATTTGGAGGATGTTAAGTAAAATAAACCAAGCACAGAAAGACAAATACTGCATAATTTCACTTATGTGTGGACTCAAAAAGGTTGATCTCACAGAAATAGAGAGTAGGGAATGGTGTTTACCAGGGTCTGGGGAGGTTAGGGATAGAGGAGACAGGCTGGTCAAAGAATATAAAATTTCAGTAGGATGGGAGGAATAGGTTCAAGAGATCTACTATACAGCATGGTGACTACAGTTAATTATATATTGTATTATTGAAAAATGCTAGAAGAGTGGACATACACTAATAGCTATGTAAGGTAATGGACATGTTAATTAGCTACTTAGTCATTTTACAATGTACATATACCTGAAAACATTATATTATACTACTAAGTGTATATAATTTTATCCATCAATTTAAAAATTAAATTTTAAAAATGTATTGATTGCATATTTATAATTTGTGAACTAACTTCTTAGCAGATATGACAGACTTAGCTTTTTTAAAGTTCACATTAAAATGTAACTATACCCTATAAAAGAAAGAAAAAAGTTCTCTATAATAGTGCCAAATACAGTCCTGAAATTTATATTATCATTAATAGCAATGATTATATTGAATCACATTAGTTAGTAATACAGTACAACAAATATGATCTAAATAAATATTTTTCATGCAATTATTTAACCTCCATATTCAAAGAAAGTCCTCGGTCACTTTCCATTGATATGGTTTTCCCATTGTAAAAGACATACATTGTTTCTTCCAAGTATTTCACTGTTCTCTGCTAAGAGTACCCTAAACTTCATTTGTGAAATTCTCTTCCCATACTCTCCTCCATGTGGTTTGTGCCCAGTGACGCCATTCCCAACTCTTCAAGAGAACCCTCGACGGCTCTACCAGTGTTTCTCTCAGGGACAGTGTTTTTATTGGAGTAGGAAAATTCTTTGTTGTATGGGACTGACCCATGCACTGTAACATGGTTAGCTTCCCTGGACCTTATAAAAGTTACCAGTAGCCGGCAGAGCCTGCAGTTTTTATTGCATTTCTCTAGGAGCTCAAGGCTATTCTTCTGTGTAAGATACCAAAGACAAGAGACTAGGGATAATGTCTCATTCATTGTTATGCCACCTAAGCCTATCAGTACTCGGGACATATTAGGTTATTGGCATGTATTCAACAAATGTTTATTGAGCACCTCTATGTGCCAGGCATGGTCCTAGAAAATTGGGACAGACTGGTGAATAAAACAGACCAAATCTTGCACATACTAAGTTTTGCTTCTAGTGAGGATGAAAAAGAGATGTTGAGGCCAGGCACGAGGCTCACACCTGTAATCCCAGCACTTTGGGAGTCTGAGGTGGTCAGATGACCTGAGGTCAGGAGTCCGAGACCAGCCCTGGCCAACATGGTAAAACTGTATCTCTACTAAAAATATAAAAATTAACCAGGCGTGGTGGCACATGCCTGTAATCCCAGCTACTTGTGTTGCTGAGACAGGAGAATCTCTTGAACTCTGGAGGCGGAGGTTGCAGTGAGCTGAGATCGAGATTAGTGAAACTCTTTTGAGACAAAAACAGCAAGTAACAAATGCAAATAGAATGAATGCAGATAGTCATAAGTGCTGTGAAGTTAGGTAAATATGATAATGTGGTAGAAATAAAATGGAAGGGGCTGTTTGATTCAGTGATTCTCAACCAGGAATGATTTTTTTCCCTGAGGCCATCTGGTGATATCTGAAAACATTTTTAATTGTCACTAATAAGGCAACTAGTTCACAGAAGCTAGGAATGCTAAGCATCTTACGATGCACGGGATAGCCAACCACAAAGAATTAGACAATCCAAAATGTCGATAGTATGGCTGTTGAGAGCTCCTCTTAGATAAGAGTGACCCTGGGAGGCCTCTCTAAGGAGGTCCCATTGGAGTTAAGACTTGAATGATGACAAAGAGCCATATGAACAAAATTTTGGAGAAACGGCATTCCAAGCAAAGAGAAGAGCAAGTGCAAAAGCCCGAGGGTACAAACCAGACTGAATGGTTTGAAAAAAATAAAGAAGGGTAAAGGAGCTAAACTTAACCAGTACAGTGGAGAAAATTATATTCAAAATGAGGTTGGGCAGAAAGCATGGACTAGATTATCAAAGTCATGGTAAGATGTTGGAATTTTATTCTTAGTAGAAAGTGAAGCCATTAAAACGTTTTAAGCAAGAGGTGACATAAGTAGATTTTTAAAAATCACGCTGCCCATTGGGTGGAGAATGGCAGGTAGAGGGACAAAGATGAAAACAAAGGGGCAAGTAAGAAGAATATAGCTGTGGTCCATGAGAAATAGGATGATGACCTGGAAGTGTATATGCATGGAGGGGCCAAATAAAACATAGAACCCCAGTTAAATTTTGATTTTAGATGAACAATAAATAATTTTTAGTATAAAATGTCCCATGCGATATTTGGAACACATTTATACAAAAAGTTATTTGTTGTTTATCTAAAATCAAAATTTAACTGGGCTTCCTACATTTTATTTGCAAAATCTGGCAACACTATGCATGTATGAATGGACAAATATATGCATATGTAAATACAGGATGGAACATATTTGGAAAATGAGCCAAACTGCTACATTGCCCAAGTTCAAAAATGAAAGATAAATGCTTTCTATATGTGGAAGAGGAATGTGTACAAATATATATTGTTTATGCAGAGATCAGATAAGTACCTAATCAATTCTAAAATTTATATCTTCTGCTCAATATCTCCAAATTGCTTCAGGATTCCCCTCCAGTATCTCAGTGAAAACTGGAACATTTATAGGAAATTGGTTCCCACTGTCCCCTAAGTCCTCAACTTTCCATTTTCTGTCCCCATCATCCTGGAGCCTGAAGTCCAAGATCTTGAGATAGGCTTCTTTTCATGAATTTTATTTTCATATGTGAACTAATAAACTTGGCAAGTTCTGTCACTTTTTTTTTTTTTTTTTTTTTTTTTTTTGAGACGGAGTTTCGCTCTTGTTACCCAGGCAGGAGTGCAATGGCGGGATCTCGGCTCACCGCAACCTCCGCCTCCTGGGTTCAGGCAATTCTCCTGCCTCAGCCTCCTGAGTAGCTGGGATTACAGGCACGCGCCACCATGCCCAGCTAATTTTTTGTATTTTTAGTAGAGACGGGGTTTCACCATGTTGACCAGGATGGTCTCGATCTCTTGACCTCGTGATCCACCCGCCTCGGCCTCCCAAAGTGCTGGGATTACAGGCTTGAGCCATCGTGCCCAGCCAGTGCTGTCACTTCTTTAGAAATATATTTTAAATTGGCCTCCTATTTCTAGTTTCCACAGGTCTACTTTTGTGTAGATCTGATTCCTGCTGATTTCTCACATGATTACCAAGATCCTCTCTCTCATTCCCTGTTATTATTATGTCATTCTCACTTTTTAATCTTCCAGTCATTCTCAAGATTGTACAGAATTGCAAACCGGTCATTCTTAGGCTATATCAGGACAGCAGATATCTTTAATTTGGCTCATGCAGGGGTTTTTAAAAAGAAGTCAATGTTTAAAATTAGGAGCATTTTCTTTAAAATCTCTGTGTCTGGATGCCTTGAAAAATCTGAAGATCTGGACACACCAGATCTACATTTTCCTCACAGCTACAACAGCTGGAGTTGAATAGAAAATGTTCTCTTTAAACAGAAATGTACAAGTCTTACTTTTTCAGGTGTCTTGGCTGGTATCTGATATTATGACTTGAATTGGATTCCACTCAAATGCCTATCCAGCCAGCATTGGAGATCTCTAGAAGCTTCCTGTTCCTCACTTCAGTATAAACGCTCAATGAGGTCTATATCTTCAACAAGCTCCTTTTTTTCCCTGCTCCCCTTGGCTTGGTCTTTCTTCCCACACCTCCTGTAGCCATGAGGACGTGAATCCATATTTCCTTTTTCTCAATCCAGATTATTTTGAAGTAGTTTCTAAAACCACTTTTGTACCTACATTGTGCATGACCTTGCTTTGCTTTTTGAAAGCTAATATACATGCATTCTCTAGGTATTGTTAGGTGCTTATCTTATCTCACCAAGACTACTGTCTCAGCTTCCTGAGCACTAAGAGCCTTCTGTCTTCTGTGCTACTTCTTCCAGCAGTGCTGATCACCCAAAAAAAGGACTCAAATAGTTGTTAGCCAAGCTCGGTGGCTCACATCTGTAATCCCAGCACTTTGGGAGGCTGAGGCAGGCAGATCACAAAGTCAGAGGATACAGATCATCCTGGATAATATGGTGAAACCCCGACTCTACTAAAAAATACAAAAACTTTGCCAGGTGTGGTGGCATGAACCTGTAGTTCCAGCTACTCGGGAGGCTGAGGCAGGAGAATAACCCAGGAGGTGGAGATTGCAGTGAGCCAAGATCATGTCACTGAACTTCAGCCTGGGTGACAGAGCCAGCCTCCATCTCAAAGAAAAAGTAGCTGTTGCATGAAATGACTGCTATCCTGCCATCTATTCAGCATACAAAGAGAAAAGTGAGTCTAAATTTATTCATTTTTCAAATGATATACTGGTATAGTTTGAAACTTGTAATTTTCCCTGTAATCAACTAATCAAAAAAAGCATGTAAGAAATAGAAATTAAGCAAGTTCTTTTAAAGTTTCTGTTTAAAGTAATTTGATAAAGCCCCTCTATTAAACCATTCTTTCTCATTTTATTCTACAGATAAATTTGATTCTATGAACAATAAAAACTAAAACTTCCATTATTTTGTTCTTACTTCTTATGAGATTATTAAAACCCAGAGATCCAATTTTCAATCATTTTAGGAAGGCTGATTATTAAAATGTTAAAGGCTTGAAATAAAGAAATAAAGCATTCTGTGGGTTTGTGTGTATCTACTAAAACATAAGGGAATAGATGAGAAGCCTGAATTCTAAGAAAAATCTTCTATGTAAGTAAATACCAAAATCTATTTAAATGAGTACATAGAAAACATTATTTTAAGTAATTTATTTTAGTCATGCACCTTAAAAAAGAATCTGATTTAGGGGGGTCCAAAGTGGCTCCCACTGGAGGTCATGGTGCTCGCGAAGGCGAGGTCATCAGTTCAAGGCTAACCTGAGCAACCTCATAAGCTCAAACTGATTGGCAAAAAAAAAAAAAAAAAAAAAAAAAGCAACTGATTTAAAGAGAGGTTCTAAAGCCAATATTTGTTTAACCAAAAAAATCTTTCAGCACAATAATTACCTTCAAAGGAAATTTTTTAAAGGTTCAAAGTCAAAAAATAATTAGTAAGAAAGTCACTCACAGTAGGGATTAGCAAACAATCTGTGTTTTCCTAAATCAGCTCCTCTTGATGTGTTGTCAGGATCATGAGGCATAAAAAATTTTAAATGGGCTTACTGCTGAGAACTCATCTATAAGGTACAACCATTTTGCCAGAAAAAAAACTTCTCAAACTTCTGACCTCAGGTGGTCCACCAGCTTTAGCCTCTCAAAGTGCTGGGCTTACAGGCATGAGCCACTGTGCCCAGGCCAACATTTCTACGAGAAAAAAAATCAGCTTAATTAGCATAGCACTGTAAATGCTTGCAAGACCAGCATCACTGAGTGTGCATGCTCAAGGGTGACCAAAGTAGCAAACATACATGACTTAGCTGCTTCCATTACAGACACGGTTAGTAAAGATGAAAATCATAATGTTAGACAGAAATCTTTTAGGAAAGGCTCGTGTTAATATGCTATGCGAAACTCAATGCTAAGTATGGATTACATTCTTCATCAATTTATATATGTCAGGGGGTGCTTGGAAGATGCCTACTCATTAATGAATAAGAAAAAAAATATTCCTCAGTCAAACTGACTCTTAGAGGGCATTTTAGAGGAATTTGGAAAATGTTCTCACTCATACCTGGGAATTGAACAATGAGAACACATGGAAACAGGGAGGGGAATATCACACACCAGGGCCTGTCAGGGGGTGGAGGGATAGGGGAGGGATAGCATCAGGAGAAATACCTAATGTAGATGACGGGTTGATATGTGTAGCAAACCACCATGGCACATGTATACCTATGTAACAAACCTGCACTTTCTACACAGGTATCCCAGAACTTAAAGTATCATTTAAACAAATAAATAAAAGAAAAAAAAATCTATACCTTGGGGAAGATAAACAGAGGAAATAGAGCAACATTATTTTTTTTTTTTTGAGATGGAGTCTCACTCTGTTGCCCAGACTGGAGTGCAGTAATGTGACCTCAGCTCACTGCAACCTCTGCCTCCTGGGTTCAAGTGAGTCTCCTGCCTCAGCCTCCCAAGTAGCTGAGAATACAGGCACATGTCATCAGGCCTGGCTAATTTTTTGTATTTTTAGTACAGACGGGGGTGTCACTATGTTGGCCGGGCTGGTCTCAAACTTCTGACCTCAGGTGATCCACCCGCCTTAGCCTCTCAAAGTGCTGGGCTTACAGGCATGAGCCACTGTGCCCAGTCCAACATTTCTACGAGAAAAAAAAAATCAGCTTAAGAAGCATGGCACTGTAAATGCTTGCGTGACCAGTATCACTGAGTACACATGCTCAAGGGTGAAAGTTTAGCACTAATTTTTTGCTTTTTCTCTTCTTCAAAATTAAACACAACTTTTGACATAGACACTTGCAAGGTAATGAGTGTAGCCCTATGTAATTCTACAAATGTGAGGTGGGTAGCTTAGCCCAGAGCTGATCACCCTGATATCGATCCATGGCACCTAAGAGTAACTGTTGCCCCATCTGTTTTTAACAAGACATTTATTCTCAGCAGCAGAAAGTCATAAAACAATCCCTCCATCTTCATTTACATTGTGAAGGGAAACGAGGCAGGCTGCAGGAACCCAGCACAGCAGTGAGGGAGCCGCGGCCTAGGCACCCTGTCACCACATTTCCCTTGTACATCCCAGGTCCTCTCGAGCAGCACAAGACAGTGCCAAGCAAACCAACTTACCCTCGCCCGTTCCTTCCCAGACACTTAACGGCAATGCCTAGAACAGCACATGTGTTCTCTCTCACATGTGCCCCTGCTCCCTTTCCCCAGTTCCCAGCTGGAGAAAAATGCAAAATTTCTTCTAACTTGACTATCTGCCCATTTCGAGAAGCCACACCATCACCACATCAACGTATAAAAATAATTAAATTAAAACATTATGTCCACTGGCTTGGCACCCAATCCACTTCAAGAGTTTTATGAGATGTTGTCCAAAACCAGTGTCAGGTCCTTAGGATCCCTTCTTCCCACTGGCCACTTCTCCTGTGCATCATTTCAGCAGGGCATTTATGACAATGTTTTCAAAGCATTTTCCAAGTTCCCTAGTTCCATAAACTTTGCCACCAAACAAGTGAAGAACAGCAAGGACAAGAACCACACTGCTGACAGAAACGTGGAAATCAGCAACGACAAAAAGAGAAAATATATCACATGAAAGTTGGAACGGCCTAGATTAAAATAAGCTACTTGGAAATTTGCCCTGTGGGGTGAAGATTCCCAATCTGTTAGGCAATATAAAGATCCACCTTGTAAAATTACACAGCTCTGTTGTAACGTCTTGAAAGGACTGGAACATCAACGGTCTTCCTACTTCTACAGGCAAACTAGAAAAAGGGACTCACCTGCTTCCTGGTCTCTCAGAATGTCTGCATAAAAAGAAAACCAGCTCGGGGACCCTGCATTCTCTCCTATGATGTGTCCTAAAGCCTAACTCAACTACTGTTTGCCCATCTATGCTTCTGAGAATGTAGATCCAACTACAGGCACTGCTACCAGTAGGGGAGCGAGGTGGATGAGAGGCAGGGAGGAGGCCTCTCCTTTCACACCAGTGTCCAGTGATGACATCACACTTTCCCATGGGCATCTCCGTTCCATTCCTCAGCAGGCTATGCCACGGAGCTCTGTTCAGTAATCAGGAGGCTCAATGCAGGAAGAGTGCCAGAAAATCCAACTGAGAGTGGGATGAAAGTGAAAATATTCATGCCTTACTGGGCAATGAGATTTGCAATGCCATCCAAAAGGCTTCTGATCTTGATGTGGGTCTCTGCCCAGAAGCCTTGAAGAATGCGTGATGCCAGGTCCAACCCAATGTGGCATCCACTTAAATGAATCATCGGGGTTGTATTCAACTCTTGGTATGCAATAAATTGGAAGTCTAAAAACAGGAATTTGAAACAACCTAAAACTTTCTCATTGGTCTCCATTGTCCAGACTACCAGGGGAATAAACCTACTTGATCTGGGGCAGCTGCAAAGGTGTGTGTGGGTTCAACCTTCATGGATCATCAATTCCAGCTTCCAGAGTGTGGCCAACACCCATGTGGCAAATACCAGACAAGGCACTTCTGAACCCACACAGTAACTCCCACTAGTCAGGGAGGAGTCCCAATCCACCAGAACCTCATATTGAGGGAAGGCTGAGATAAGGCTTAGGCCCCTCAAGTTCTGTTTCATTCAATGTAACCCACCACTCCTCAGTCAAGGGGAGGCAGATGTGGCAACGGAAGCTGAAAAGGGTGCTGTAATAAAAATAACTGGACTGGGAAGAGGAGGCATCGCTCCAATGATGTCATAGCCACTGGTGCCCATGGGGTAGTGGGACTGGTCATGTAGCCCTGTGTCAGGAGTAATGCTTGTAGGGAGTAGGGCATGAAGAGGAGTATGGTTCTGGAAACAGTGTTGTCAAGAAGTGATACACTCTGCAAAACTGATTGTCACCTTCTCACTTTGGTACCTGGTGAGTTTGATCATTTTTCTGAATTCACTGGTAATTGGAGCCTTAAAGTTACCTTTCCAGGGCAAGGACTCTATTGCCTGGATCTCATCCCAGTCTTGTTCCTTAGCAACCTCAGGTGAAAACGAGGCTGTACATTTGATGCCTTTTTCATTAGTGAATTCAGTTTGAATCCCATGGACCCCTGTCTCCCAGTCCAGGTAATCACTAGCGTCCTCAAAGTTAGTATGGAGAGAGACAGAACGAAAAAGCTCAGGCAGCTCCTCTCAGATTGGAGGGGAAATCAGCTGTCCTTAAGTGCAATGGCTAACATGTATTCCCTGAGTCCTGAATGAAGATTCATGGCCGAGAACGTCCCAATGCAGCCAAGAAGCCACTTTTCCCTCTCTGCCTTCCATGTCACAAGACACAGAAAGGGGTCATTGGAGAATCTAGGAAGTCGTGGCTGTAGGAGGACACAGAGGTGACAATAGAGCATTTTAAAGTGGATCATGAGGTCAGGAGATCAAGACCATCCTGGCCAACATGATGAAACCCCGTTTCTACTAAAAATAAAAAAAAATTAGCCTGGCGAGGTGGTACACACCTGTAATCCCAGCTACTCGGGAAGCTGAGGCAGGAGAATTACTTGAATCTGGGAAGTGGAGTCTGCAGTGAGTCAAGATGGCACCACTGCACTCCAGTCTGGGCAACAAAGAAAGACTTTCTCTAAAAAAAAAAAACAAAAAGCAGTAGCAGCACCTCTAGATTCTTTGTTGCTGTTCCATTAGACTGGGGAAGAGGGCTCAGTGCTCCAGTTGCTGGATTCATTCATGTAATGGGAGAGATTCCAGGTCCCAGAGTCAAGTTCAACACACTCTCCAATCTGCTGCTGCTGTCTACATGCCGGTGGATTTGAAGAGGTCCTGACCCAGGCCGGGGACAGCTGTGGACTGATTCTCCTGACTGTATATTCCACTTCCAGATAATTTGGGCTTCTTGCTCCAACAGCCTGCTGTCAACTTGGGCTCCAGTGGAGGAACACAATGTATTTTTTTCTATCCTGATTGGGTGCTCGAGTTCTAGAATGCTACAGAGCCTGAAAGCAGAAAGTCTGTATTGCCAGAGGAACAGTTAGAACAAGAGGGGGAGAGATATTTTGTTTCTGAAATGAGACTTCTTCCTTCCAATTCCATTCCTTTTTCCTATTACCTTTTCTCCTGGCCAAGATGCTCTTACAGGGACAGGACCTCTCATGCTCTGCCCAAAAGTTTTGAGAGAGCATAAAAAGGCATATGTACCCCTTCACCTAAAACAAAAATTAAAAAATATATATAAAAGGTACTTTGGTCAGAAATATAAAACACTATTTTCATCAAGAGTAGACAGGGAGATATTGAGCAGGAAATAGAAATAGGAAAAAGGAATTCTAAGACATGCTAATTTTTAACCTGATTCTTAGGTCTATGAGCAAAGTAGGTCCAGAGAGGCGAGGCAACTTGCTCAGTGTTACAGATCTCGTCACTGGTAGACATGGGATTAGAATCCACTTAGTCTAGGTTCTTTTCTCTGTACCGTATCCTTGAGTTATGTCCTCGGGGTGAGGATTCATTGCAACATGAAAATGAATTGTTCATTGAATAGGATAACCATCATATGAAATATAAATGCAAACACAATACTCTGAAGACTGTACATGAAAAATTTGGGGATTATGCAGTGTTATACAATGTGTCTATCATTGTTGCTTGCAATTAGAATGGATAAGGTATAGCTCACTGGGACATTTTTCCAATGCGCATCTTGGAAGATGAATAGTTGTCGTATTAGAACATTGCCCTTGTGTCTTAAATGCAGTAGCTCATCATAGGCAGAGACCCAGGCAGCACCAACAGTTCAGACTTTAGAGTTAAAAGTTGTTTCAAGCATTGGATGAATTGCTTCATTAAAGATTTATTGGGCCGGGCGTGGTGGTTCACGCCTGTAATCCCAGCACTTTGGGAGGCCGAGGCGGGTGGATCACGAGGTCAAGAGATCAAGCCCATCCTGGTCAACATGGTGAAACCCGGCCTCTACTAAAAATACAAAAAAAATTTGTTGGGCGTGGTGGCACGTGCCTGTAATCCCAGCTACTCAGGAGGCTGAGGCAGGAGAATTGCCTGAACTCAGGAGGCGGAGGTTGCGGTGAGCCGAGATTGCGCCATTGCATTCCAGCCTGGGTAACGAGAGCGAAACTCCGTCTCAAAAAATAAAAATAAAATAAAAAAATAAGATGTATTGATTCAGAATATTTGGGAGGAATGGGGTATGAAGTGAGGACAAGTGAAATGGTTTTTACAAAGTCTACAATAAAACACTTTTGAAGAAATACAAATCAATTATTTTGAAGTAAAATATGAAAAAGCAACCACTGAAATACTGCCAGATACATATCCTGTAGGGCCTATTTTAATAACTGAATAATTTATCTGTAATTAGCAAATTGTTTATATGCAAATGGCATTGGAAAGTATTTGAAAATATTTTAGCACATTAAAAATGTGCTATTGAATCTCATTTATTTCAAACTTGGCATGCCAAACTTTTCTCTACAAAGAGTAGAGAGGTAAAATATAGTCTATTTCTACTTAAAAGATCAGAAAGTCTCATAGCAATAATGCTCTTTACACTATAAGCAGTGACAATGATAGCAATAATAATTCATTTTCACTACTCATAGAGAGTCCACAAATATTTTCTAATTTCGGTCCCTACATAGCTCTGTGCACCGAGGACAAATAGAGGTAAAGAGACATGCCCAAGATCTATTAATAGCAGCAATTAAATTCTCCAGCCCAGAACCCAAGTCTTCTGATTCTCTGCTTTGTACCCTTCCGCTCCTCTACAAGGCTCTCTAGGAGGGACCACAGAGCTCTGGCTTAGGCCAGATGAGCTCCAATGTCATTTTGCAATGCCAAGGCCTCTTTTTCTATGACTTTATGGGTACTCTGACCTTAAACCATGTGGTGCATGGTACATGTATGTGCAGTGGGCACTTAAACTTGCTGGATTTCAGGGACTCTGGATTTCCCTTCAATGTGTTGTTTTCAGCATTTCATAGGTCAGTACATGTGTTCAGTGGCTTTAAATTCTTCTTCTTACGAAGTTGGTAAAAATAGACAAACTATCTTTGACTCTTTTCCCTAAACACTAGGTTTAATTTGTAAAGGAAACTGAGTCAACTATCCCAATCCATTCGAATGACAAGGAGAAATGATAGCTCCTTATCTATAATTAACATGACTAAGACCTAGACTCATGGGTAATCTCCTCTTCTCAAGCAACAATTACTGCAAGACTAGCTTTGGCAAGGATAGCAGAGACTCCAAAAGAATCTTGGAGATGGATTTGTTACACAAAGAAACACAGGCATGATAAGAAAAAGTCCTAATGCTATTAACTTATTAATAAAGAGAAACCTGACATCAATAAACATGTACTTATTGTTCAGTAGTAGAGTCCATTTCACCTTATTTTATTCCTGTTTGCTTGCTGATATTAAGTTTATTATTGACTTTATTTATATTGACATGATGCAATCTTAAATATGGCTCAGTTTGAAGTATCCTAGCAGTGAAATGTAGCCTTTGATCCTTTCTATGTGAAAAAGGCCAACCTGTTCCACTGATTTGCATGCACATGCATGATGGTCTGGCCATAGCAGATTAGGATGAACAGACCAACTAATAACTGATCAACAAGCAGAGTTGACCAACACGTCTGGAGAGGAAGGAAGAAGCCTTGAGCTATAAATCATGCTGCGAATAGAGTAAGTGAGCATTCCTTGCATTGTTCCATCAGTCTTTTATCATCTAGATTTTTCAGCTTAATTTCTCACCATGCACATCTCTACCCTAGACCTCCTGAACTACATTCTCACAGATGCTTCACCAATAACTTTCTTAACATGATTACCACTATGAATAATCTTTTCTGGCCCCAAACACTCCCATCCTTCCTTCTCTCACCCACACACAGAATTCTACTCATATTTAAAGATCCAGCTTATATGTTACATCCTCAGAGAAGCCTCAAGCAACTGTACTCTCCTTTATATTCAATAGTACTTTGGTGAAACCATTACTATAGTACTTATCATAATGTGTCATAATTACTTGACTAGCTGGCTTATCCATTAGACTATACATTCCTCATGGGCAGAGTCACTGTGTTATTCTTTGTCAAATTTCTGCTACTCTTTGGTACCTATCCTTTACTTTCTACCCCTGCCAACATGCTAGCCACATCTTGCCCCCTGTTGGGTATAAAGTAGGTGCTTCTGGACTGAACCACAGTGGGAGTGGCCAATGGACAGCCAGAAGGCAAAGGGTGCATAGATTTGTGTGTGAGGAAAATTCTCCTAAGATCATGTGTAGACCAAAGTCTCAACTCCCTAACCTGTAATTTAGGCTGCAAACCAGAGTCCCTGCAGCTTTGTTTATCCTTCTAATGTACAACACACTTAGATTTCAATGTCACATTAATCTGGGATATTAATTCCACCAGCACCTCTGATGGAAGCTATAATTTATATTACTGAAAAACCTTTCTATTTTAATATTCAGAGGTGTGGGAATACAAATGATATTAAACATTAAGTTGGCAAAGAGGTACAAGCAAAGAAACTGTATGGTATAAAAATGTAGGCCCCAAATTAAGACTATAACATTTCCCAATTAAACCAGAATGAAATGAACAAGTTTCATAGGTCGTGCATTAATCAGAAAGGATATAAACCAAACCAGACACATTTATCGCTAAAAAAATCCTCAACTCCCTAATGTGCCTATAATTATTAATTATTTATAAACAACACTGGAAGTGTTGACATTGTATACTCCTATAAAATGAAACATAAAATAATAATGGCTCACTTTTACACATCCCTTCAAGTTAATGATGCGACTTTAAAGGGCCCTGTGACGTTTTAGGTAAGCAGGCATTGATGAACACACTGAAACGGTAGCTGTTTGTTAAGGCCTCAGTCTCCTCTTCCCATTTAATACCCTCTCTTTTTGGCAACACCGTAGAGAGACAGTACAAAGCGGCCAACACAGCCCTGAGATCGAATCTTGAAACGCAACAAACTTGCTCGGTAACCCTGAGCAGGGTTTACATTTCTCTGTACCTCACATTCCCTATTTAAATAAACGGGCTGGACAAATTGGTCTTTATTTCCTTTCTACTTGAGTATTCAACCATTTCTATTTCTAAGGTTTATTTTATTTGTTTTCCCAGATCTTACCACTTAGAGGAAAACACGGGTGTTATGAGAAAAAAAAAAAGATTTTCCATTTTTAACATTTTGATAGCTGCAAACTCAGTTTATTTTACATTTTCCCCAATGATTATCCTTCCAGCCGCAGCTAATAGTTTAACCTCATGCGAAAGTATTTTCCCATATAATAGGACATGGAGATAATGCATGGACTGAAGGCTGGATCAATAATAGGACTAAGGACCCAGGCTCTTTCCATCTCTCTGCTCTTCTGTCCTTGGTGTCAGTCTCCTTTTCAGACTTACAGCAAGGTGGCTGGCCTAATTCCAAGGACACAATAGAAAATATAAAGACCAGATCCACAGCGTCACATTTCCTGTGAAGGTGTCATTCTACTTGAAGTTAACAGCCAAGAGCTCAGCCCAGTAACTTCTTTCTGTCACATTATCAGGGTAATTTGACAAGTAGCTATTGAACTTACAGTAGAAGCCCAGTATGAGCCTAGTATGAACTATTAGTAACACAATGAAAAGAAGAATATAGTAAAATGCATTCAGTTTTTCACTATGAGATCATGATTAGTTCAGAAAATAAAGTGTATCTGTTTTAAAGCCATAAAGCAATACAGAAACATTCTTTCCATAAAGTTAACCCAGTCCTAGCTGCATCTCAGATATGGTTAGAGAGTGTTATCTCATTCCCATTTATGCAACAGAAAAAAAATCCATGCTGATAAATTCCACACTTAAGGATGATTTGGGAAAGGAATTTGTTATCACAGGCCACACTTAGCTTATTCTTGAAATAATTAAATCTCAGCAATGAAGAATTCATTTCAAATTGCAGGGGATTGCAACCAAGTGTTATTTGAAATATTCAGAATAAAATTTTCAGCAAGACAAACCGAGTATACCACCAAAACATGATCATAGCTCCTACAGATTAAAATATATGGCCTGTGGTATGTATAATCCGTTCCCAAACCCTGTGTTCTCAAATATGACCTGCCCTCTATCGACTTTATAAGTGTTTCATACATGTATTCATGAATCATGTCCCAAATATATTCTTCCAGCTTTATTTTTCATGACTTTTATCATGTTTTTGATTTTTATGGAGTCAGATTTGTTAACAATCTTTCTCCTAATGATTTGTGTTTTTGTGTCTTAAGATGGCAGTTCTTTAGAGAGTGTGTGTAGATAAAAAATTTTCTGATCCTCCAATACCTGGAAACGCCTGTATTTTATCTTTACTCATTATATAATAGAGTTATGTAGATAGAAATTTTAGTTCAAAGTTACTTCCCCTCAGATACTTTCATATTATTTTTGTGTGTACAGCTGTTGGGAAATCTGATGCCAATCAAGTTTGCACACCTTCAAAAAAGTGGTCTCCTCCCACCCTCATCACCCCCTCTTTGGTAACTCATAATTTTCTATTTATGCTTAAAGCTCTGGAATGTTACAGTGATGTAATTATAAATGAGTTTTAAAAAAATAAATCTGAAATACAATTTTTGCTCAGTATTTAGTGGGATTTTTAATTTAAGACTTGTGGGTGTGGAAAGGAGGAAGAGCTGTAGGTGAAGAAGAAAAAACAGGAGAAGAAAGAAAAAGGAAAAAGAACATGAACAAAGCAGTAAAAGAAAAAAGGGAAAATGGAAAGCAATACTAAACAATGGTATTAATAAAACTATCCATCTATCTATACCTCTAACAAACTGTATGTACATTTTTTTCAGTCTTTCAAAGTGTTTGCTTATGTAAGATGATTATTTGTGTTTGTAAAATTAGAGAGCCCTTTGATGAGAAATTCCTGTTTTTATTCTGAAACCCTTAATTCCAAAAAAATTTGGATACCTTTAAGAGTAATTTCCTCTGTTATCTGTCCCTATATTTCCAAATGATACGTGTATAATGATATTTTTTAATTGATCAGTTTTTGACATGCTTGTAGTTGAGCCTTTAACTCAGCCACAACACTTTCCTTCCATCCCCGTCTTCTCAATATGGTTTGTAATAAATTTGGCTTAGGTCAATGATCAATCTTCACATTATTATGCCTAAATATTGTTTACTCCAGAGCTAAGCACTATCCTATAATTATAGTTAGTTTTTGGTTCAACTTTTTCTCTTACAAGAGTTAAGAAATGACCCAGTCATCATACTGGAACTTCCCTTTGCTCCTTCCCTGTGCTGGATCTTTCCTTCAGTTTCACGTTTTCCTCTTTCAAGAATAACCTCATTTACTGAAGAATATCCTTTTATAGCTTTTTTAAAGAGTGTTTACTAGAGTCAAATATTTGAGTCCTGAACAGAATGTCTTATGTTTACCCTTTTGCTTGAGAAAGAGCTTTTCTGGGTCCTTTTCCCAGAAAAAGAGAGGCTGAAAGAATTCTAAATTGGAAATAATGTTACCTCATTCCATAACGTTTACATTCATAGTCATTTCAAAGGAGGTACATTCCTTTAGTTCTAAAAAATTTATTAAATCATTTATGTGATCATTGTCTTTCAGTCTCTCTGTTCTCTCTGCAACTCCTATCAACTGAGTGTTAGTTTTCTGTAGTGGTTCTCTAATATTATTAACTTGTCCTGCTATTATCCTTTGTTTTTTTTTTTTTCTGGGAAATTTCCTTAATTTTCCTTCCCATTTCATTGAATCTTTTTTTTCCCTCAAACAGCATATATTTAAATCCTAAGAATTATTTCTTTTTCCTCAACGGTTCTTATCTACTGCATCCAGTTCTTACTTCACAAATACAATGCTTTAACTCTATGAGAATATTTATTATATGTATGACTATGCCTGCATGGGGCACCTTTTATTCTGATCCCGATATGTCTCCATTTCCTCTGCATTTATATTTTCTGATTTGTTTTCATTACTTCATGGAGGATTCTTTTCTCAGATGTCTGATAATCCTTGTCTGTCAATTCCCATTTAAGGCTGAGGCTTAAGAAAGTTTACTGGGATGGGGGAAGCTTATTTTGTACATTGGCAGGGCTAGTTGACTGCTGAGTTTGAAGTGATCAGACTATAAGCCAGGGTTTCCTTTAGGATATACTCACAGAGTTTAGAACCGTAGAGTCTTTCCTTTGAAGCCATTGAATTTGTTTCTCTGAGATCCTGAAGAGGAAACACACCTGGTCCCTGGTGTACTAGGAGCTGAGTTCCTTTAATTCAGATTTTACAGATTCATTTATATTCCCCTGTAGGGTCCTATATCTCCCATGCCACCTTCTGCATTTAGTATTATTTTCTTTTATTATACTTTAAGTTCTGGGATACATGTGCAGGTCGTGAAGGACTCTTATATAGGTATACACATGCCATGGTGGTTTGCTGCATCCATCCCCCCATCACCTATAGTAGGTATTTCTCCTAATGTTATCCCTCCCCAATCCTCCCCCACACCCAAATGTCCCTCCCTTATCCCCCCCCCACCCCCAACAGGCCCCAGTGTGGGATGTTCCCCTCCCTGTGTCCCAGAGTTCTCATTGTTCAACACCCACTTATGAGTGAGAACATGCAGTGTTTGGTTTTCGGTTCTTGTGTCAGTTTGCTGAGAATGATGATCTCCAGCTTCAACAATGTCCCTGCAAAGAACATGAACTCATCTTTTTTATGGCTGCATAGTATTCCATGGTGTATATGTGCCACATTTTTTTTTATCTAGTATAATTGATGGGCATTTGAGTTGATTCCAAGACTTTTCTATTGTAAACAGTGTCACAATGAACATAGATGTGCATGTGTCTTTGTAACAGAACAATTTATAATCCTTTGGATATATACCCAGTAATGGGATTGCTGGGTCAAATGGTATTTCTATTTCTAGATCCTTGAGGAATCACCACACTGTCTTCCACAATGGGTGAACTAATTTACACTCCCAACAGTGTAAAAGCATTCGTATTTCTCCACATCCTCTCCAGCATCTGTTGTCTCTAGATTTTTTTAATGATAGTCATTCTCACTGGAGTGAGATGGTATCTCAATGTGGTTCTGATTTGCATTTCTCTAATGACCATGATGTTCAGCTTTCTTTCATGTTTGTTGGTCACATAAATGTCTTCTTTTGGAAAGTGTCTGTTCATATCCTTTGCCCACTTTTTGATGGGGTTGTTTTTTCTTGTGAATTTGCTTTAGTTCTTTATAGATTCTGGATATTAGCCCTTTGTCAAATGGGTTGATTGCAAAAATTTTTCCCCATTCTGTTGGTTGCTGGTTCACTGCAGCGATTGTTTATTTTCCTGTGCTGAAGCTCTTAAGTTTAATGAGATCCGATTTGTCTATCTCGGCTTTTGTTGTCATTGCTTTTGGTGTTTGAAGTCCTTGCCTATGCCTACGTCCTGAATGGTATTGCCTAGGTTTTCTTCTAGGGTTTTTATGGTGTTAGATCTTATGTTTACATCTTTAATCCATCTGGAGTTAATTTTTGTATAGGGTGTAAGGAAGGGATCCAGTTTCAGCTTTCTGCACATGGCTAGCACATTTTCCCTTTAACCTGGAGCCTCCTGGATTCAAACTTCAGATAATAAACTATTTCCACTCACTGCCATGGAGTGGGAAAATGATACTAACATGGCTGCTATGGGTGAGAAAGGGCACTTGGCATACCTGTCCTGTCCTTTACCCTACCTTTTTGGGGATCTGAGGATCTAAATGGTGGACATTTCAAGGGAAGCTGTGGGGCAAACTGGATCACTCCTTATTAGTATCCCCTTCTCTTACTTTATATAAGTTTAAATATGCACTTCTCTGCTAAATTAACTAACACTTCACTCAATTTCTTCCAAAGTTTGTTCAAGTGTCTTATCAGCTATTGTCTCCTCTCCTCTTATCTAGGTTCTTGTGGGTTAATGCCCCATTAATTCCTTTACTCTCATTTGAGAGGGGTTTTAGAAGGGAAGAAAGATAAATGTGTGTGGCCAATTCACCATGTCAAGCAGAAGTCCTGAGCTCTCCACGTGTGAGATCTTCTTCACTCTCACATATGCAGGTATATGTACTGTAGCTGCAGTTGTAATGTCACCATGGTCTCTGATCTTGTTCCTCTAGCATTCCAGCTGCCATAGCACTTCTAATGTCTTGTCTCATCAAAGACACAGGTGAAAGAGAATGCTTTTATTCAAAATGCACATGGAAAACAGATACTCTCTCATGGATTTAGTAGGAAATTTGGTTACTACGAATGTTTTAAATTACTTGGCTTTTCTGTTTATTTCAGTATTCTTCTATTTAAGCACTACTCTAGTGGTCAATTGTGCACTTATTTAGGGTCATGAGGAATATCTTGTTTGTTTTAAATCTAGGAACGAAGGAACAATCAGTGTTGTGAGATCATGTGCCATTTCTGCTAATTTAATTAAGGAGTTCTTTGCTTAGATTTGCCCAGGTCATTTCATGGAGAAAGCAGCCCACAGTAATTCTTATATGACCTTGTGTTTTTTTTTCTTTGTATTTTCATGTATATATTGCTAGGGTTTTAAAAAGCCACTCCTAGTCAATAGGGAATTTTTTCAGGTTTTGTGACTAAATGATGCTTACGCAGTATGCCAATGAGACATTCATTATGCAAGGTGCTAAGGCAAAGCACCCAATGATCTGTGAAGGAAATAGAACTTCAACTTTGGTATTTTTAAAGTACTTTCAAAGACAGATGATAGCAGCTCACCATAAAAAGGAAAAAATAGTGTCAAGTAATTTTATAAGACCAAAGAGTTGCAAGTGTGTGCTATCTCCACATAAAAACACATAACTGCATGCAGGCTGAGTTTTTCCCAAGCAAAGAGCTCCTGAATAGATAGAAGAAAAGTTTTATAAAATGCATCAGCCAGAAGTACTGTGCTAAATTGCCTATTTACTCATGCTCTATGGAAACTTTCAAAATGTAGTTTGCACCAATTGCTGAACTTGTTACTTCATTTTCAATTGCAAGGAACAACAAAGTAGTTTATTTGTCTTATTTAGGGGGATTGAAAAATGAGTAAGGTCATAAAATGTATGTATTGTTTATTTGTATTATTACAAATAACAGATATGTATTATGATCATCGATATCCAAAGGGGCTATGACCAATTATGTTATTTCCTTTTATCTAGAAGGCAACAAATAGAAGTGGGAGAAAAGTCAAAAAGGTGTTTGCACACAGGCTAGCCACAGTAAGGTGAAAATGGGTAAGAAGGTGTGCATGAGAGGTTGATTGGGCTCATTTCTCTTCCAAAAACCTATAAACATAGAGACTGTATCATCAAGAAAGGTGATGAACTTTGGCATCAGGCATGCCTTCCAAAACATGGCCATTAGCAAGTCACTTAACCTTACAGAGTGATATGATTCTGCAGGACAGTCCCAGGCTCCCTGTACCACCCATTACAGCTTTTGCCAGTAAGGCCTGCCCCACTGTGACCTGCCTTTTATTTCCCTTTCTTATATACTTGGGATTCTTCCTCACAATAACTTGAAATGTTTATCTTCTACTGCTGCAAGATTTTTTTCAAGCATAAGAGTAAATATCTAAAGATAGAGCAACTTTCTCAACTTTTAAAAACAAAACACTAAAGAGTCTTCATTCTAAAGGTACAGAGACCAAAAAACAATAAGAGCTTTCAAAGAAAAACAAATCCTACTACTCTGTTACCACCCATGATACCTGGGGTCTGATTTATTTTTAAGTTTATTTCACTCCTTTATGATATGATATACTTAAGTGTAATAGGTTCACCACTTAGCCAGGGATAGAGTCTGAGACAAAGTGATGGAAATCCAGCCTTGCCTAAGCCACAGCCAACCTTTGTCATGGATTATTTTTATCAAAATATCTGTATAAGATGATTAGAGGGTTTGATTTATTAGAAACATTAAATTGGGATCAAAAGTAAATATTGCACAGGTTGAATTGCTGACTGGTTTTCCATCCTTGGCCTTTTTTTTTTTTTTTCCTATTTCTGCTGACTGGATCCATTACTCAGTCTGGGCTTACTTTCAGGAAGCGGCCTTCTTTTTCTTAGCCAGCCCTCAGAAACCTGACAGTTTCCACCTGGACCCCTTATTTCAGCATTTGCTGCTTTCTTTCTCTCCTATCCTGTTTGTTTGTGAGCCACAAAAAAAAAAGTGCTTCTTTCAGAGATGCTTCCAGAGCCCTAACATCCCTGATTGTTCCATGGAAGCCTCCTAGATCCTAAGTTCTAGGTAAGAGACACTGATCCCAGGCAAACCTTCCTCCTGCATGTTGCACATACACAATGAAAGACAACTGATTATTTTATTGGAACTTCGTTTCCAGAAATGATTTTTTTTAATGTTGTGAGTCTGAAAAAAAAGTGGTTCAATTTGCTTTGTCAGTCCTTTGGGTCTAGATTTCTTAAGTCTGAATTGTCAAGAGCAATGTGATAAAGACAGTTTAAAAAGTATTAATTATCAATATTGTCTCTGATGTTCAGCATATTATTATTTTTTCAACTTTTATTTTGGGTTCAGGGGTTATAGATGCAGGTTTGTTATGTGGGTATATTCTGTGATGATACTGAGGTCTGGGGCATGAACAAGACTGTCACCCAGGTACTGAGCATAGTACTCAATAGTTTTTCAGCTCTTGTCCTCCTTCTCCCACAAGTAGTCTCTAATGTCTGTTGTTGCCATCATTATGGCATGACTACCCATTGTTTAGCTCCTACCTATAAGTGAGAACATGCAGTATTTGGTTTTCTGATTCTGTGTTAATTTGCTTAGGATAGTGGCCACGAGCTGCACCCATGTTGCGGCAAAGAACATGATTTAATTCCTTTTTGGCTATGTAGTATCCTGTGTTGTATATGTACCACATTTTGTTTATCTATCCACCATTGAGGGGCACCTCAGTTGCTTCTGTGTTTTTGTTATTGTGAATAATGTTGCGATGAGTATACTCATGCATATGTCTTTTTGGCAGAATGACTGCTTTTCTTTTGGATATATATCCAGCATTGGGATTGCTGGGTCAAATGGTAGCTCTGTCTTATTTGAGAAATCTCCAAACTGTTTTTCATAGTGACTGAATTTATATTCCCACCATGTAAACATTCTCTCTTCTCCACAGTCTTCCAAGTATCTGTTATTTTTTGACTTTTTGATAATAAGCATTCTGACTGGTGTAAGATGGTATCTCATGTGGTTTTTATTTGCATTTTTCTGATGATTAGCGATGATGAGCATTTTTTCATATGTTTTCTAGCTCCTTGTACGTCTTCCTTTGAGAAGTGTCTGTTCATGTCTTTTGCTCATTTTTTAAAGAGGTAATTTGTTTTGCTGGTTCAGTTGTTTAAATTCCTTATGGTTTTGGATAGTAGACCTTTGACAGATGCAGTTTGCCAATGTTTTTTCCCATTCTGTAGGGTGCCTGTTTACTCTTTTGAAAATTTCTTATGCTGTGCAGAAGCTCTTTAGTTTAATGTGGTCCCACTTGTCAATTTTTGTTTTTATTGAAATTGCTTTTGAGGACTTAGTATAAATTATTTCCCAAGATCCATTCTCAGAATGGTGTTTCCGAGACTTTCTTCTAGGATTCTTTTAGTTTGAGATCTTATATTTAAATCTTTACTCCACTTTAGTTAATTTTTATATACTGTGATAGGCAGGGGTTCAGTGTTGTTCTTCTGCATGTGGCTAGCCAGATATCCTAGCACCATTTATTCAATAGAAAGTCCTTTCTCTATTGCTTATTTTGCTGACTTTGTCAAAGAACAGATGGCTGTGGGTGTGTAGCTTTACTTCTGAGTTCTCTACTGTGTTCCATTGGTCTATATGTTTGTTTTTGTACCAGTATCATGCTGTTTTGCTTACTGTACACTTATGGTACCATTTGATATCAGGTAATGTGATGCCTCTGGCTTTTTTTGTTGTTGTTCAGAATTGTTTTGCTCTTATTCAGTTCCATATGAATGTTAGAATAGTCTTTTCTAGTTCTGTGAAAAATGGCATGGGTAACTTGATAGAAATAGTGTTGAATCTGTAGATTGCTTTGGGCAGTACAGCCATTTTAATGATATTACTGATTCTTTCAATCCATGACATGAAATGTTTTCCCATTTGTTTGGGTCATCTATGATTTCTTTCATAAGTGTTTGGTAATTCTCCATGTAGAGATCCTGTAGCAATCTTTTGTCTCCTTGGTTAGATGTATTCCTAGGTATTTTATATTTTGCAACTATTGTAAATGGTATTACATTCTTGATTTGGCACTTAGCTTGGTTCATTATTGGTATATAAAAATGCTACTGATTTTTTTGTGCATTGATTTTGCATCCTGCAATTTTACTGAAATTGTTTATCAGTTCCAGGGGCCTTCTAGCAGATTCTTCAGAGTTTTCTATGTACAGAATTATATCATCAGTGAAGAGAGATAGTTTGACTTATTCTTTTACTATTTGGATAAATTTTTATTTCTTTCTCTTGTCTGATTGCTTTGGCAAGAACTTCCAGTACTGCACTGAATAGGGATGGTGAGAGTGAGCATCCTTGTAAGGTTCTAGTTCTCAAGGAAAATGCTTCCAGCTTTTGCCTGTTCAGCATAATGTTGACTGTGGGTTTGTCATAGATGACTCCTCTTATTGTGAGGCACAGCATATTATTTTTAAAGGTCCGCTACCATTTACTGAACACTTGCTAAAAGTTTGATACTAACAGTTTCCATAAAACAAACTATCTCTCATTTAATTCTCATAAGGTAACATTATCATAGGTGATTGAGTTACATGTCTAACACACGGCCACTAATAAGCACAACGTACATTTTGAACCTAAACAAGCACATTCAGGGACCCACACTCAAAACCCCACACTAGCACTTTCTACAATGAATAATGCACCCATGCTTTATTCAGTTGCTTACATAGCAGGGTTGTTGCTAGTTGGAGGGCCTGAAATGAAATTCTCATAGATCTCAAATTAGGAATGTACACCAAGGAGTCATAAATACATGTGTTTTGATTAAGATGACAATAATTAAAAATATAATTGTATGAATGGTCATAGGTAACACTGATTAAATCAATTTGATAAAGTGCCCATCACCACGCCACTGAAAATATATTTTAGCATCTTGATGATTTGATCAAAGATTGCTAATTCCCAGCTGCACAAAACCTATTCTCAAGCATGATCATTATAATCTTTTGCTTTATTAAACATCTGAAAGGAATGGCATAATGGTCCTTCAAGGACAGCTCCATTAAGGAAAAAAAAAGAAAAGAATCTACAATATAATGTGTTTAAAATGCTTTTTAAAATAGTGTTGTCATTAAGGTGATCAGTACCTGGGTTATTCTCATGGAAAAAGCCCAAAGTCTGCTTGATTAAAGAGACAGCTACACCCCTTTTCCTAGCCCATTAAATGAACCACAGATATAATCTACACATAAAGTTTCATGTGTTTTAGCTTCATTAGGGTGAAATCTCCAAAAACCAGCTAGATATTAGTACAATGAACTAGGTTGGGAAAGAGAGGGATTGGAATCATATGTAGCTTTATTGACTAATTAAATTTAATTGACTGGCTGGGCACGGTGGATCACACATGTAATCCTAGCACTTTGGGAGGTCAAGGTGGGCAGATCACTTGAGGCTAGGAGCTCGACACCAGCCTGGCCAACATGGTGAAACCCCATCTCTACTGAAAATACAAAAATTATCCAGGTGTGGTGGCAGGCATCTATAGTCCCAGCTACCAGGGAGGCTGATGCACAAGTATCACCTAAACTCAGGACATGGAGTTTGCAGTGAGCTGAGATTGCACCATTGCACTCCAGCCTAGATGACAGAATAAGACTCTGTCAGAATAAATGAATAGATAAATAAATAAAATAGATTCTCACTTAGAATTGGTTAAAATGGCTCCAAAATTCAGTTTGATGCTAACGAAGTTTCCTTCCAAAGTTAAAATACGATTTTAAAAAAACAAGCCCACCATTCTCTATCTTTTGTTAGTCAAAATTATATCAGGAAATCAGAATAAATTTTGCCCAACAGTTAATTAATATTCACCAATTTGTGTCTGAGATTACAAATGGAATTCTACATGTCTGAAAAATAAATAATAAGAGTAATAGAATTACATTTCTGTAATGACTGAAGATTTACAAACACCTTTCTTATCTATAGTGTTTTAAAATACTCACATCAACATTACATATCTCATTTTGAAGATGAAGACTGAAATGATTATATGACTATCCTGAGATAGCAGATGCTAAATTGCTAAAAAAAAAAAAATTGCAACCTAAGGCTTACAACTGGCCCTGAGCTCTTTGTACTATATTATCTTTTTTAAGCTAAAAGTTTCCTCTTACCCGACACTTCCATACTGCCCAAATTCTTCAGAACATTATTACATGCCTTGTAAATGAATCTGTAAATGGTTTGTGAAAAATGAACCTCTTATAGCTCAGTAGGCAGCCAGCAGTGATAACTGTTATCCACCTGCTGTGAGACTTAGGGCAAGTTAGTAAATCTCTCTGGGACTTAACTTTCTCTTCTTTAATGTCAAAATAATAGTATATACTTGCTCTTGAGATAAATCAATAAAATACATGTAAGGGACACTCTCCCAGAACTTGGCACACAGCGAGTTCTCAAAAGCCACCTATTTAAAATGCGTCTCAATTTGAGCATTATTAGAACCTAGGTGATAATTAAAGCTGTGATTGAACTTTTTTTTCCCAAAGAATGGGTTGACGGAAGTAAAATAAATAGAGAGTAGGTTTGGATGACACACTTATTTATTAAATAGGAATTTAACGAACATTCAGGAGAAGACAAAAAGCGAAAAGGTAAAAGCTAAAGAGAATTGAAAAGAAGTTAAATAAAAAATAATACCTACACATACACACTTATAATGAATACCTACACATACACACTTATAGTAAATACCTACACATACACTCTTATCGGCCTATTGATGACTCTTGAACAACCCAAAGCAAATAGAGAATTTTTACACTTATTTATCCCTCCTCCTAACCCTGTGAGATAGCTATTATTTTGTCATTTTACAGAAGAGTAAATTGAGGGACAGAGGTAAACTATCTTACCTAAAAATATATAGCCAGTCAGGGACAAAAATGAGAAACCCTAGCAGTCTGACTCCAAAGTCAACGCTCTAATTCTGTTCCTGGTCTAAGCTAGGAATCAAAGGCAGCAGAGAGGCTGAGTGAATACTGAAAATACTGTTATAACGATAGAGGATGCTTGCCTTGAAGGCATAAACTACCCGAGTGTGCCATGGTTTGGACACACCTAGTGCAGCAGTTCACTAAGAGCTTGGGATGAGGATACCTCAATGTAGATATCCTTATTCTTCATGCATTTGCAAAGACTGTTGAAGGATCACTTAGGCTGAGAGGCTGAAAGACATAAGCGTTCCCAGCAATCCAGTCCAAACCTTGTGCGTGTAGGGATTGTCCTTTCATTGAAAGCTCAGGAAGGCCTGTTTGCTGGGTTTTCTCATCGGTGTGATGTCTTTCTTATTTTTTCTTGGGATACTCTTTTCTCTCATTACTCATGAGACCACTACTTCAGCTCATCAGTCAGTAGCTGCACAGACATCAGAACCTAAGAGGTGAGACCTGGTTACGAACTGGAGTGAGTACTGAAGGGCTCACTTGGTTATACCATTGTTAGTCATATGAGCTCAGATGAGATGTTTAACCTTTGTTAGTACACCTTCATCTATGAAAGCTGATACAAGACCCACCTCACAAGTACTTGCAAGGGTACAATGAGACTATACATGTGTAAACATCTGGTACTCGGTACACATCTGTTGAATCTGGATTTCAGTAGCAAATATTACTTATGAACAGCTGGACAGGCTGTTTCTGGAACCTTGCAGTTGGTAAACACATCTGAACTTTAAAGATGACCTATAAATCATGTGGATTAAGTGTTTCAAAAAATTGGAACTGACATCAGACTCTGACCGTCTCTTTGCAGCATACCCAACAATGGCACTTTGCTGTAGCTGCTGCTGCCAACAAATATGACGGCAGCCAAAATATCCTGGGACATGATTATATAGCATTAATGTCACTTGTAGCATTGGAAACTGCTTTTCTGTCATCCTTATGAGTAATGACTCACCTACGCTTGGGCTACAGTTCCTATTGTTTGCTCTTCCATAGAAGTGGATGGTTGGGAACACACACAAAAGAGCTGGTATCAAAATCAGGACAAAACTGCCTCGCCTGTATTGCATAGTCCAATCAAGCCTCATTGACCAGGATTAAAATGCATTCATCTTTTCAAAACAAATAATTTTCTTAATCAGTTCAAAAGTACATCCAAGCAGGATTTCTTTTTTAATGGTCAAGGTGTAATTTCACTTGACAAATGTAAACATAATGAGTTCTGGCCAAAGCTTCAAACAAATTTGAAGATGTCTATTTAGATATCAATTTCCAAGAATGAGTTTCTAAGAATGGGTGTAAAACCTAAATAAAGTATTGCTTATGCTGAAAAATAACTTTATTTTAAAGTTAGAAATATAAGGACCATAATGTAAATGACCTAGTTATCTATTAGTTAGTACCAGAACTGGCCCTAAAACCGAAGTCTCTTTCCTCCAATTTCAAAGGGGTTTCTTCTTTTAAGTAGTATAAATACAGGGGCATGAAAACTCAAGGGTATTCCAACATTTTATGAACAACCAAGCCCTCCTATCCTAACACCAGGGAAAGCCCCACCATGCCTCTCCAAATTTAAAAATTGCCTTAGGAAGGACACATGGTCAATAGGGGGTTGATCAAATATTCATTTTCACTGTAATCAGAGTGGTTTAGATTCAAGAAGCCAAAGCTTAGGGCCACCTTGACCTTCAGACTCTTCCTGAAATTTTCCATTTCTCCTTAGTTCATATGCACAAGAGATCAAGATACAATGATCTATGGTGTTAACTTAAGGTGGCTGAGATTCTGGGGATATAAATTGTTCAAAGCAATTTTCCTGCTAAAACGTCCAGAATTTATTGGCTCTGTCTAGCATTTATTGTCATTGACATCTGTGAAGGTTTTCAGACAAGAATGTATCATCTTCCACATCTTGCTTCAGTTCAGTATACTGTATCCCATATAGGGCATTTTTTTAAGAACCATCTGTTTAAAGTGTCTTTATTAATTCATTTTGGTATAGTTTTTGACATGTCTACAAATTACAGATCATAAATTTTCTAATAACAAAAGTTGTTCATAGAGCTCTAGGCAGAACCCAATAAGAGAGTCTAAATATAGAAGTGATATTTACATCTATACCCAAGTAATTCATACACAATATAAACCATGTTTGATAACACCAAAAGCATGTTGTAGACAAGCTCTGATAACACCAAAAACAATGTAACTGTAGGTTTTCCATCATTAAGCCTAGTGAGCTCTGCGGTAAAGCTATAATTTTAGTCTCATTATATATCTCTATCTTACAGTGTTCCTTAAAAATATCATATTTAACTTGAAATTTAAGGCAAATGTTTTATTAACAGTATGCACCAAGTCCACTATTCCCTACTGTGAACCACTTGACCACTGATCCTGAAGAATTAGGTCTAATGCTTTTCGCTGTGATAATCGAGAAATAAAAAAATGTATGTATTATAGTATACAACATGATGTTTTGGAATATGTATACATTGTGAAATGGCTAAATCAAGCCAATTAACATGTATGCTGTCTCACATACTTACCAATGTTTTGTGTTGAGAACACTTAAAATCTACTCTCCTAGCAATTTTCAAGCACACAGCATCCCACTTTACTCTGCAGATTATAGAACCATTTATGTATTTATTGAGACAGGGTCTCACTCTGTCACCCAGGCTGGAGTACAGTGGCATCCCTCCTGGGCTCAAGCAATTCTCCCATCTCAGCCTTCCAAGTATCTGGAACTAGAAGTGTACAACACTCACCCAGCTAAATTTTTGCATTTTTTGTAGAGACAGTTTCACCATGTTGCTCAGGTGGGTCTCAAAGTCCTGAGTTCAAGTGATCCATCTGCCTCAGCCTCCCAAAGTTCTGGTACTACAGGTGTGAACCACTGCGCCTGGCCATATAGAACTTTTCAATCACCAAACTACAGTAAGTTCCAAGTTGTCTTTTCCAAGCTCATGAGGGGAAATACCAAAAGGAGATTGTACAATGACCCTGTGCCCCATGTCTGGAGAAAGGTGTGGGCTGCTGACACAGGAGGAGCTCCCATGCCCAGTGATAGATGAAAATGGGCTTTTGTGCAAAGTTACCAGTTCCTTCCTTGACCCCGTGGTCCACAGATAAGGAGATTGTGCACAGATTCTTCACTAGAAAACCAAAATTAAATGTTATTTATACAGTGAACACCAGTTTTGTTATAAGCAGACAGAAGGGACTTCTGTCAGCCTTTATTTTAAGCTATTCACATTCTGAAAATGGATATTAATGTATGTATGTACTTGATTAAATACGATACTCTTAACCCTCTTAATTGGTGACTTCTATCTGTATCCATTTTAACACAGACAGATAGATAATTTTTAATTATTATAGAGCAAGATAGAGTATCTTCTCCGTGAAACCCTCACCTCTCGGTTTGGTAACGCACTTTCCTGGTTGTCATCTATTATGAATGGTTGTGTCTCTGTTTCTTTCTCCTGCTCCTTGTTTTCCTACTGTGCCTTAAATGAATATGAAAGCCAAGGTTCTGACCTCTCTTCTGTCTCAATCCCTAACACATCCCCGAGCTGTGACACCACATTCTAACTGCCTAAACATGTTCACATCTGTTTCTAGCTAGCTGCCTAATCAACCTTCTATTTGTACTTCAGTCTTCTGCATTCATAACTCGCGTACACACACATACACACACCCACACAGACTTCCCTAATGCAATGTATTGTACCAATAGTCTCAGAGTCAGCTGGATGCAAAACAGCAGCCATCTTTGATTCCTTTCTCTCCCTCATCAAGTTGTTACCATCACAGCACTTCATGATGCTCTCACAATTGCATATGCGTTCTGACATGCTTTTCTTCCTTAGGTGCCCATTTAATTCACCCTGTGTAAAACTAAGCACCTCCTTCATTGTATTAGTCTTGCATAAAATATTCAGGAAAGCTCTGCAACTACTACCTGAAGCTTCAATGTCATTTAGTGGAATTAATCTGACACTCAGGCTCTACCAAATGTGGGCACATCTGTGCAGGGCTACCTTTCAGTTCCAACCTTGTCTCCTTGTCCTAAATGCCAAGAGAATGCTTTTCCTATCTCTATACCTACTCTTTCCTCAGCCATATCCCTTCCTCTATACCAACTGAATGTCAATCTCCAAGGTTCAACTCAAGCAAGGGTTCCTCTAAGAAACCTTCCATACACACTCCTTGAACCCTATCTTTCTGCCCTAGACAGCTGTGGTCTTCTGGACCACTCATATCTCATCCACCACCTACCATTTCGACTTGGGCATATTTGCATCCTTTTCATGCCTCAGCACCACAGTGTCCATACCTTGAGGATGGGAACTCTGACTCATTGACCACTGGAGGCCTCAGACAATCTAACACAATGCCCTTGAACATAGTAGGTGCTCAGTAAGCATATGCTGAATATTGAGCAATGGGTATTTGAGTCCCAGGGAAGGGGCTATACGCCAGGAATAGAAGGACCACAATGTAGAACTAGAAAAGAGATGGAAATAAACTGTGCGTGTGGCGAATTACAGAGACTCCTTCAAAAACCACCGAGTTGCACAAGATGCACTATCTCCAGTCACTCCAAGGTCCCACACCCCAGGGAGGACCTGCTGATCCTTAGGGTCAGGTGTGTCCTTTCTCTGCCCCTACCTCACTCCTCTCCCTACAGGTAAACAACTCAAACCTCTAAGGGCATTTGCTGTAATTTCAGCCATTATAACTGGACCTATCCCTTCTTCTGCCCGTACTCCAGTTCTGGTAGCTGGATTCCTTTGCTTTATGCTAAGCTTCTGCCTTATTAATCCCCTCCCCCTGTCCTCTGAACTTTGGATTTTGGTTTCTGTTTCTCAGTACCATCCTAAACCTCCTCCAGCATGTACTCTCACCTTTGAACCTAAGCTAGGTGTCCCCTATCTGCTGAAGTAGCCCTTGATGCCAAATGCCTGCCTCCTCTGAAATCGTTGCCAAGCTCCACCACTTATCCAGATGCATCTATTACTCCTTACTAGGAAGCTCTTTCTGTGCTAGCTCTTGCTGGCCTGGATGTCCAGCTTTGGCAGGCCCATAAGACTTGCTTCAAGAGTGAGCAGCAGAATGATATCCACAGCGCCCATACCCCCAAGGTTGGAAAGTCTCAATAAGGACCCTGAACACTTACCCCCTGGACCTTCCACTGCAGCTGACCTGGCTCTGACCACAGATGTGACCGCTCACAGAAACTAGCTATAGAGAACCCAGAAACACCCAAACCAAATAGGGCATCCCCTTAAGAACAGTCAGGCTCAGCTGCTGTTCATAGCTGCCCCTGTGTTGATCTTATTAATCAGGATGCAAGACAATGAGGCCTGTCCTCAGGTGATCCTATGAGGCTGTGGTCAGAAAAGTACAAAAGAGCTTCAGAAGAGTAAAATGTGTTTAAGAGGAAGGACATTGAAAATATCATCCTAAGCCTCTGTGCTTCTGTAATAGGGGTAATAGCATGCATCTGAGCAATAAATACGTGCACACTGAATTGCTCCAAAACCATGGAAATAAACCAAATTCCATTTTTAATGCATGCAATAAACTTTTTCCCTAGGATATCAGTTAAGATTGCTCTAACTTTAAAAAAATAACAGCTGACTTATTCTGTATTCCTATAGCTCAGAATAAATAGATCAACTAACTTTAAAGTTGGCAGGTTTACAGTTCTCCCAGAGAAGAGAAATTAAAGCCAAACTGAAGATAAAAAGTAAGTATTTTTATATTTATGAAGTCTTAAAATTACAGAGCTGAACATACAAGGTCAATACAGAGCTGGCACAGAGCTGAGCTAAATGCTTCCTACATTAGCCTTATTTCCTCAAGTGAGAAAGTGTGCTCTGAGGGGTGGCGATGTGTGCTGAGCAGTAGGTGAGGACGCCTGTGGTTCTGAGGCTCTGCACAAACTTTGCATCGTGAGTAAACATTTACAGTTAAATCCCCAACTCAAGGATCTGGCTAAATCCCATCCTAAAATTAGGTCAGAATGTGAATTGTGAAATACAATGCTCTCTTGAGTATTTACGAGTGATGGTGTTTTTATTTGTTAATTACTTTGTGTTCATTTTTCTGTGTATTTGTGGTTTTTATCCCCCTGCCCCTCAACAGTAAGCTCCACAGGACAAGATCCATGCTTTTCTTTTCTATAATCCCAGTGTTGAATACAACGTCTGCCAATGACAGCTTCTCAGTAAAAACTTGTTGAATAAATGAATACATTTTTATTCTTACTATGACCTCCTCAAGGGAGCTCACCAACCCTTGCACCTATCTCAATGCTCAGTAGGAAGAAAAAAACTCTGTCTGTTCATTAACTATAGAAGGACATCCAAACACTCTAATGTAAGGTGTCACTTTCAAAGGTAACATTTTATTTGATCACTTTCAGAGCCTGTCTCCAAAGCATGGGGAAAGAATATTAATCTTCCTTGTATTTGTCTCTCTGATCACCGAAATTTATTAACATTTAATTGTCTTGAATTTGAATTTGGTTTTCAGGAAGCTTCAAAGAATTAGCATACTCTGAGTAAACCCTTGTAAGATATTAATTTTTGATCTCAAAGGATAGTTAATTTAGGTTGTTTACATGACAGATTTGGACAGAGTTAAAGGTTAAATTCTATCTTTGAAGTCTAAAGATAACTGACAGTTGATGTTAATAATTTTATAATTACTGAAACTATGATTAGAATTGTCTAAATATCTCTTGCTAGTAAAAGTGTCATATCATTCCTACTCACTCTCCCTGGGAGATGACCTGACTTTTGAATTTTCATTACCCCTAAAATTATCAGCTTCAAAACAGCATTTATGAAAAGAAATTAACATACACATTTAAATGAGATTTTTCTGAAAAGTTACTTGCTCATCTAAAACTGAAAGTGAACAATGAAATTTCTTAAATTAATCATTCCTCCCTTTACTCAACACATAATTATGCCAAGTTTTGAGTATACAAACAAAAACAAAAAAACCATACAATATTATCCCTATATTTAAAGAGTCTACTGTAGAAATCCATTTTTATTTGTTGATTTAATAGATACTGGTGACAAAGATGACATGACTTTGGTCCACATTAGGCTTGAAGGTTGAGAAGGTTGGGAGCATGTGTTAGTCTGTTTTCCATTACTGTAAAGGAATACCTGAGACTGGGTAATTTATAAGGAACAGTGTTCATTTGGCTCACAGTTGTGTAGACTGTACAAATATGGCACCAGCATCTGCTCAGCCTCTGGTGAGGCCTCAGGAAACTCTTACTGATGGTGGAAGGTGGAGGAGGAGCAGGCATGTCACACGGTGATACAGGGAGTGAGAGAGAGGGAAGGGGGTTCCAGGCTCTTTTAAACAACCAGCTCTGGTGAACTAATAGAGTGAGAACTCACCCATCACCAGGAAGACAGCACAAAGCCATTCATGAGGGATCTGCCTCTATGACCTGAACATCTTTCACTAGGCCCCATCTGCAACATTAAAGGTCACATTTCAACATGCAATTTGGAGGGGACACACAACCACACCCTCTCAGACCACATCCATAATGCTCACCATTGAACTGCTAATATCAGAAGCATAATAGTATGTATTCACGTGTGGTGCTTTCAAAGACACTGTTGTTGCAGAAAGGCAAATGTGGAATTAAAGAACAACGTACAATGTGACAAGTGACATGATAAAGAATGTACATGGTGCTTCATTGCCTGGAAAGAATGCTGAAGTTGGCCTGCTGAAGTCAGAGAAGACCTTTCAGAGTAGACACCATGGAGCTAAAGCACTGTGAATAAGATGTCTCAGGTGGGCAGACATGCGAGAGTGTTCTAGGCAGAATAAACTGAATGGGCCAAGGCATGGAAATATGGCATGCTCAAAGACCACAGACTTCTTGGTACAGCTAGCAAGGACATTTGGAGGGCGCTAAAGACAATCAGAATTGTTCTCAGGCCTTCTCATAAACTGTTACCTGGGTAAAAGCAATGCTTCCGAAAGTGATCTAAGTGAAAAATTATTATTGGGCTAAAGTTTACTTTTTACAGTTATTTAATAAAAGGACAGAGGATCTTTGACTATAATTTATAAAATATAGGAGCTTTATTTTTAAATATTAGTGTTTTTGATTACTTCTAGAAAAGCAGTTTAACAATTTCTATTTAAGCCTGGAATCAAATCAGAGCCACAGCTGTCCCTTGACATAATGAGGATTTAATATTCCAATCTTCTGTTCTCTGATAAAGCCAGCTTCAAAAACTCCAAACCTCATGCCACCATTTCTTCCCAGTCTGATAAACTATCTCACTGTGTGTTGAAAAACATAGATGAACACTTGCATTCAATCAACACATAAATGGTGGTTCCTAGAGACTACAGAAGTTCTTTATTTTGCATACACATCAAGAAATCATTTTTATTGAGTGCCTCAAAAGAATAAAACCCCACCCAAAAAAGAAAACCAAGGGAGGTCTGCTCAGTCTTGGAGAACTGAAGGAGTAAAACCAGATCCCTGCTTTGGGATAAAACTGTGAGGAGGTGAGGAGAAAGGGCAACCAGGGTGCTAATGTTCCTCAAACTCAACTGTATGAGGAGTGGCTGAAGGCCTGAGATGTTTAGGTTAAAGTACTTTGTCTCTAGAGAGTAACCATAACTGGCTTCAAGTGTTTACGAGGAGGATATGAGGGTTGATTTTATGTGTCAATTTGAATGGGCTATGGAGTGTCCAGATACTTGTTCAAACATGATTCTGAATACTTCCCCAAGAGTGTTTTTGAATGAAATTAGCATTCAAATACAAAGACCAAGTAAGGCAGATTGCCCTTCCTAATAACATTTGCCCTCCCAAATAATGGACAATTCTCCTGTCTGACCTGATGGCCTACAAACTAAAACATTAGCTGTTTCTGGTTCTACAGCAGTCCATGACCTGCAGGCTTGAACTAGGAGGCTGGCTCTGCAGATTTGGACACAAGCTAACTCCTTATTTGATGATAGATAGATACATAGATACATAGATGCATACATACATACATGTGCACATGAGTATATGCCTCCTATTATTTCTGTTTCTTTAGAGAATCCTGACTAATATAGAAAGAAATAATGAAGAGGAAATAGTATGAGAAAGCAGGCAAAGTTGAGATAGTGGAAGACAGTTTGGGGTGACAATGGATAAGCCAGTTTACATGGATATGGTATGAAAGAAGATAGAAACGTAAAAAGAGAGAAAAGTGCCAGGGGATTGATTCCTACAGATGTTCACGTCCCTGGATGTCTCTGAGTCAGGGTGGGGATGTGATAAGCAAGACGTGTCTGGATGTGAAGTGTACCTACTGAAGGAGGAAGAATCTGGAAGCCTGGGTTTGGTCATCATGTGAGGAAGATGGAGTTCCCTATATGAACCCAATTTTCAATCAAAAAGAACTGGAAAATGTTTTGAGTTAAAAATTGGGTTGGCCAAGTGGGTGGGAGGCAGGGGCAGTGGCAGGAGTGCAGGAGAAGCGACACTTCTAATAAAACAAAATCATTGAACAAAAGGTAAAAAGACTAGGTTTGTTTTTCTGTAAACATTATACTCTTAGAACTTCTGCACTTTTCTGCATTTCTCCTAAATAAAGCTGTGCAGTGAAAGAGAATTGTCATGACTTCCTTGGGTGCCTCTGTGACAGCTTCATCTTTCAAGCAAATCTGTAGGATTTAAAAAAAAAAAAAAAAGACTCCCAAGCCTTAAAACACCCCATGTACTGTAAGTCTTTTAAGCCAAGAACAAACTACAGACCAAGCAACACTAAGCACTAAAACCGGAACCTTCCCCATCGTAGCCGTAAACACATCACTCATATAGATTCTCTGGCCAAACTCCAAACAACTTACACCACAAACGAAGATGAGGCAAAAACAATCAAGGTAGCAGATAAACCAGTGACACTACAGAAAGACAATAATAATTTAAATGTTCTGCAGAAATACCTAAGCTAAATTCTCTTTCTCTTTCTCTCTCTTTTTCTTTGTAGGCCTTTTAACATTTTAAACAAGGAAACCACTAAAGTTAACCTTAAGAAAAGTTATTCTATCACATTTAAGTTTTAAATGAAATATTAAGAAATTAATAAATAAGAAATTAACATAGTATCTCTCATTTAACACTAATGAAAGATATTACTGGTGGTAGGGTTATTCTCAGTGTCATTTAGCGAATAAGGAAACACTAGACTGAGGGACTGGGCAAGCTCAAAAAAGAGAAAAAAGATGCTAGAATTGTTGATGGGTTGCCTTGAGCTAATTTTGGTACCAAGTTAATGTCTTGATATCAACAGCTACCCAAGTGAAACCCAAGCATATCTTAACTTGCACTCATGCCTTGCACCATTTAATTGTTCTTTCCAGAGTTCGTTTCTTTTAGGTAATATTTATTGTTCCCTAAGAGAGAAGCTATTCCCAGTATCTCCTCACTTCCAATAGCACTTGTTAGTAATAACAAGCTTTCACCAACTTACTCGCATAAGAGAGCCCAACTGCTCACAGAAATAATGGAACCACAAGACTTTGAGAAGTAAAAGTGAGACTGCTTGCTATACCGTTTTGTTTCTATAATTTACCGTTTTCTCTCTGGCATCAGGGGTGGGCTAGCCAGACCACATTCTCCTGCTGACATTTGTAAAGGAAAACACAAGAGGTGCATAGCTAGAACAACTGTGGACACTGCTGTCCCTCTAGGAATTTTCCTTGCATGGTCCCAGGCTGATGCTGAAATATATATTCTAGGGTAAATGCCCATTGTGTCTTGGGAGTTTATTTTAAATAGAATCTTTAATATGCAAATGTGAGATTCACCTGGGGCACCATAAGAATGAAATCTATCCTCTGTCCTGTCTTGCGCTCTTACATTAAAAGGAAGAAGAGTAATTTTTAACACACCCCTACGATGGTTTTATGCAAATTCTTCAAGCTAGGCAAATTATTTTTGTGTTAAAATTTTCAACCCCATAAAAACAGGAGTGAATTTATGTGGCATTTTAAAACGATGTTAGGCACATTGTAAAGCTATTTCATCTCATTTATAAAGAAGAGTGAACATAAAAACAGGCCATGGCATAATTAATAGTGAAATGATTTATAGCACCAACTCCTTCTACATATTTATGCATTTTCTACAGTCTGGTGCAAGTTTTTCCCCTCCAGACCCTCAATCCCTGCCCTTGCCAACAGAGAGAAGTAGCATCAAGTGGAACTCGCATATGGAGCTTAAATCATGTTTCACACACACACACATGCACATGCACATGCACACATATACACACCCCACACACGCCCCACACTCCTGTAATGGTTCTCAAACTCACCTGCACACTGGAATTTTCTGAAGGACCCTAAAGAATTCTGTTATCTGGGTTCCACTCCTGAAGATTCTGCTTGAATTGGTCTGGGGGCAGCCTGAGGCATTGAGATTTTTGAGTTTCAGGTGAAGCCCAGATTGAGCCCTACTGCCTATGCTAAAAGGATGTCAATATTATTAAGCAGAGTTACAATGTGAATTTAAATCAACACTGTTATTAAATAACTTGAATAATAAACTCAGAGACCATACTGTAAGGCCATTCCATTTCCAATTCACTCTCGAATTATGAGTTATTACAAATTCAACAAATATTTCTTGAGTGCCTACTATGTGCCAGGCACTGTGCTAGACCCTGGAGATCAAACACAAATAAGACCGGCATGCCCTGTCTGTTCAGAATACAGAGTTCAGCAGGCGTTTCTGGACTGTCTTTTCTACTTCATGTTTCCCAGCTAACGTTTTACCTGTTCTTAATATCTGTGGATGGCATCAGCTGGCTCTCCAAGTAGGTACTGGATTTTCCTACTTGGAACTTCTGTTTTTAAATTCCTTAGGAATACAGATGGAAACTAACAAACTGATAGATATTTACACAGCAGTAAGAACACAGGTATAACAGGTTTAGAAACTAACGTTTCAAAGAATCACCTGAAAGACAAGAGCATACAATATCTCCTTACAGAGATTTGATTCTCTCTTCTGAAATTATGAGAGAAACAAAAGTTCAGCACAAACTATACTTGCTATGCTTAAGTCTGATCTCCACTGGAAGCAGAGCACTGAGTTATACCACTCTTCTTCTGCCCATGATCATTAAGGTGGGCTTGAGTATAATTTGAGATAAACTCTAAAATATTTCCTAAGCTTTTCAAAGCATAGTCTTGCCTATGAAGCAAGTGCAAAATAGCAAATATGCCAGCGTTGATTGTAGGAGGATGTCATTTAATTTCTCTTTACTATGTTCAGCTGAAAAGTCTGCCTACAATTGTTTGATGAGGCAAATGGAAATAATTGCTCCATTTTTACATGGGATAACAGGAGCACAGTAAGCTGCGCTATCAAACTTATGATCCAGATAAGTAGCAGAAATGTAAGCAAAAACTGATTCAAAAGACCAATGAATTTTAGTCTTACATGGAACCCACCATGGCTGACTCAGGCTGCACAAATAATGCCAGCAAGACTTAGATAGCATTATATAGAGATGTTCTCACACATCTCTACTGTATATTCCCCAGGCAAGGAGTGCATTTTCTACATTTTAGTTAACAAAGACTCATCTGATTCCCTCTAGAATACTAATTTTGAAAGGAGTTTCTTTATTTGTATAATTTTCAAGTATTTCTTCAAGTGCAAGCTTCATTTTAATGCAAAACATTTGTGAATTTCCTAATAAGGCTCATTTTTAAATAATATAATAAGCCAGATTTTCTCCAGTGCCCAAGTCACTTCCTGGTAGTTACTGAGCCTTCCAGGCCAGTGGGGGAGCACTTACCATGCTCCATCAGACACTCACCAGAGAACAGCCCTTCCGAAGGTGATGAAAGCTTTGTGCACAAGTAAGAGAGGAGAAAGATGAGAGGGTCAAAGCTGAAAGATATTCATACTTCAGATTTTTCCATATTGCAGGTCAAAAAGGAAGACTAAAAAGAGTTGTCACAAAGACCACAATAATAATTTGAATAAAATAAAGGTAATAATGATTTACGTTTTACAAGCCTGTTTGAGCCCCTACCTGATCATTTTCAGTGACAAAGCACTTTTTTATTAAAGAGGTTGGTTCCACTGTTGAACTCTTCTAGTTTGAAATTCCTATCTGTCTGCCAGCAGTTCTCTTGTACAACATGGTTTCTACCAACTCATTCTTCCACACACCAGCCATGTAAATATTTGAAGAAACTTAAGTCTACTGTGAGCCTTTTCTTTCTGTGTTAAATTCCTCAGCTCCAGGAACAGTTCACTGTATCATACAGTTTTCAGGTGCTCTTCCACTGGAGTCAACCTACTCTGAATGCTCTCTGGTTTATAAGTATGCCTGTCAGTGAGTTAGTCCCCAAATTAGATGCAGTATGCCAGATTTCAGTTTACCAGTGCAAATGTCAGTGGGAATACATCGTCCCTGGTTCTAGGCACTTGCCCATTTTTTGCTATGCCATTCTGCAGATGTAGGGTGAGTTCATGGTTTACTAATGCCCTTAGGGTCTTTTCATATCAACAGTTGTCAAGTCATGCCTGATCTCCCTCACCTAAACTAGTGCAGATAAGGTTTAGAATTTGGTATGTGTGTGTGCGCGCGTGTGTGTGTGTGTGTGTGTGTGTGTATTGCATCATATTATATATCCATGATTGAAACACCACCATTCCATTCTATTAAGAAAAAAATTTTTGATTCTATCATCTATTTTTGGCCTGGTGTATTCAACATTTTTAATAGGTCATATGAAAACATACTTTAAAATATATTTGCCATCCTTCATAGTTTGTGTCATGCACAAAACTGATAAGTATGTGTCCTATGTAACTAAAGCACAATCAACCACACTTTCCTGGAAAGTTACTTGGAGAGAGGAATGGGTCCTGAAACTGATTCCCTTCAAATAAAGATGAAAGGAGAATGCCCTGGTCAAGAAATTGGATTGGCTTCAGATTTAAAGGGAAAAAATATTAATAGCAAAGTTTCTGCTCAACCTTTGTATAGCTAAGAGATAATCCATAGGGAGAAGGTGAGCCTGAAATAGTTCTGCGTTTTATATCCATGAAGACTACAGTGTAAAGAGCAAACATCTGCAGTGACGAAGACTCCTGAAGTTGTGAAATGATTTCCTTGCTGTGGGCAAGGGCATCCGTAAAGATTGTGCTTCTCCTTCTCAATGTGTCTTCTGACTGCTCTGAGAGTTACTCTTGGGGCTGAGTGCCTATTGGATCCAGTGATCACCCAGTGGGTGACAACCAAGATGAACAGACAACTTGCACCACATGATGGAAGACAAAAGGGAAACCTTAACCCAATCAGACCTGGGGAAGGAGGATGACTGAAGTCCTGTAGGAGATTGTTCTAGATTGAACAAATCAGGTGGTGAGACAGGCATTGCTGGGAGCTGCTGTGTCCTGCATAATCTGTGGAGATTGAAAGATAAATAAATGTCTTTCTGTACATGGTGGTGGCAAACCTTAAAGGGAGCCAAACAACAGATATGCACAGATATGTAAAGACAGGGATATGGTATGTGATAAATGAAAAGAATCTTGCTTATTTGATTATTTTTAATTGTGTCTCTCCCACCAGTAGAATGTAAATCTCCTTTTGAGCAGAAACCACCATCATAACCACCATCATATCTCTTCTCATTTGTCCCAGCATCTAGAACATTGCACGGAGAAGCACTGAGTTACCACATTTGGCTATAAAATAGGTTGAAAGATGGGCTGAGACGGGGCAGAACTTGAAAGTGGCAGTGCAAGAACCTAGACTATGTCCCTGAGAAGATTCTACTCAAGGTTGTTCAAGTATGTGTCATATGGGGAAGAGTACTTCTTGTAGACACATACTTGAACAATCTTGAGTGAGGTCATAAAAGCAGCAAAAAGGTCAGGTGGTGGAGGTGAATGCAGTCACTCCCACACTTAGCAGTTTGCTGAAGTTCATGAACAAAAAGATATAACAAATAGAAGGGGCTGTGGCTGGGAGGTGTCAGCAGTGGTCCAGGAGTGAAGCCAATCCCCTTGACTGCATTAGGAGTACTATGAGAACTAGTTCCCCTTCCCAAATTTGCCAGAAAAGATGGACCCTTGAAAGAGTGGGAGGCTGTTACTTTGTTAGATTATGTATTTATGTAATTACATAAAAATACCAGTGGGACTACAGACATCTTTAAGGGTGATATGAATATAATATTTTGCATACAGATATTTTAGTGAAAGGAGCACAACTGACTCTATTATCATACTGCCCAATTTCTCCCTACCCACCAGGAGAAAGCTGTTGGCTATCTCAATGAATTTTTGACTCTGTAGAGCTAAACTCTATCTATGGGCAATGATTTTTCCCTTCACCTGCCAGACCAGTAATGCTATCTGCAAATATAAGGAAATAATTTGTCATGTGTTGTTCTTAATGAGCCAGGGACCATCTCTTTGTTATGTAATTGTTCAAACATAATTTGGTAAGTATTTATCCCAGAGGCTTTCTGCCTTGAGGGATTTTTGAATCAAAAGGTTTCAGAGCTGTAGATATGCATAACTAGTCCACGGGAGGTAAAAGTGTTTTGATCCAACAATAGTAAGAAAGACAGCAAACACAAAACTCTCAGAAAATGTACATTACGTTAAACTTTACTCCCATACTGTTCTATTTCAATGGACATAAGAAAAGCAACTGGTACATTGTGGAACTGCTTCTTAATCAAATGATACAATGAGTTGTAGCCTACCAAGAAAATGACTCTTACAAATAACTTGGCAATGATGAAGATAATTTTATGTTTGGGGCATCACAATGGCAAGCCATGGCATACTGGGCAAACATTCCTATATATTCCATGAAGTCACAGAGTATCAGTTGATTGGGGAAAGCACCTCCCATTTGGCCCTGGGCAGACATCATATCACCCCATTTTCAGAAGCTTCTCAGTGAAGTGATCATTCTCATTACATTTTGCATTTTTACACCACCTGTAATCATAGCTCCCGGGCACTATATACATTGTTAATTTATTATAGTCATTTCAATTTTGCTAGTTAACTCTCAGGTATCCTTATATGTTAAGCCTTAAAATTAGCAGGAATAACTGAAACTCTTAAATACCCAAATCCCTGTACATTTTTAGGAATCAGAAGACCTGGGTTCTAATACTGCTTTTTCTTGTATTAAGCAGCTGTATGATTCCAGCAAGGCACCTCTTTCTGGGCCTCAGTCTCATGGGTAAAACGTCAGGCTTGATCTAAATGGGGCTGAGCATAGTGTCTCACACCTGTAATCCCAGCAATCTGGGACACCAAGGCAGGCAGATCACTTGAGGTCAGGAGTTCAAGACCTGCCTGGCCAACATGGTGAAAACCCGTCTCTACTAAAAATACAAAAAAATTATCCAGGTGTGGTGGCAGGTGCCTGTAATCCTAGCTACTCAGGAATCTGAGGCAGGAGAATCACTTGACCCTGGGAAGCAGGGGTTGCAGTGAGCCAAGATGGCACCACTGTACTCCAACCTGGGGGAGTGAGACGCTGTCTCAGAAAAATAAATAAATAAATAATAATAAAATAAAACAAATGGCCTCTAGTATCCTCCTCAGCTCTAAGATTTTTTTTTGGGCTCTCTATATCAGAGCTCTCAGGAATAAGTCTGACACAGATCTGTGCGTAGATGGAGATTAATCTGTTCCTAGGGTCACTCTTACTCCACACTCTTTCATTGCATCATCCATCCTGGTGCTGCCGGCTGCCAGCTCCCTGTGGAGAACTCTGTGTCAGATCTAATTCCAGAAGGTCCTCAGAACCAGAAATAAATAGGAATGCCTAGGGCTAATGTAGACGTCTGAGGCTAAGCAAAGAGAAGTGATTCCTTTATGAAAGTTATTTTAGAACAAAAATGGTTTGCAGAGTGAAGTGAAAGAACTGGCATTAAGTTACAAGAGCATGTTAGTCATTAATGGCAAGTTAAGACATTATCCTCAGCGAAGAGTCCATTAACCAAACCTAAACAAGGCTGATCAAGGCTCCTTTGCCTAGGGAGGGAAGTGGACAGTTGGAGGAGATGGGAGGAGGGTTGGAAGACATTGCTAAATGTTTCCTGCTGTTCACATGCTTAGAATTTTGCCAATAAAGTGGATCCAATGTAAGTGAAGGGACAAGTTAAACAAGAAAAAGAGCAACAAATGTATAAATTCACAAGTTCATGATAAAAATTTGGGCATTTTAAGTTTTATACCTGAGTGCTGTGAAAAACTTAGAATGGGCATTCAGGGAAAGGTGAAATTTGTCTTGGAAAGTGGCTTACAAGAAATAAATATAAAACATTTATTAGGAAGTGCCTGGGCAGAAATGCAATCAGGCTGAACGTGCCAGAGAGTTAGGTATGTAGTAGGGTGTAGAGCAGTGCTCACCATGCAGCAAGACCCAACCTCCAGGAAAAGTTCAAAACTTTATCTGGTGATCCCCAAGTGAGTTTTCAATATTGTGTCCCCACAAAAGAGAACCCCAGCACTTTGGGAGGCCGAGGCGGGTGGATCACGAGGTCAAGAGATAGAGACCATCCTGGTCAACAAGGTGAAACCCTGTCTCTACTATAAATAAAAAAATTAGCTGGGCATGGTGGTGCGTGCCTGTAATCCCAGCTACTTGGGAGGCTGAGGCAGGAGAATTGCTCGAACCCAGGAGGCGGAGGTTGCAGTGAGCCGAGATTGTGCCATTGCACTCCAGCCTGGGTAACAAGAGTGAAACTCTGTCTCAAAAAAAAAAAAGAGTTCTCTGTATTGATGTGGTTTTAGCCAGCAGCCACTAGCCACCTCCCAGGCCTGTCAATGGCCTATACCCAACATTCGGCTCTTGTCGCTCATCGGGAAGACTCTGAGCATAAAGGAATAAAGTAGATTCTCATGTGGAGAATGTTTAGTCCCTGGGCTACAGCAAAGTTCGCAGAAAATACCAGTGAAACAATGAATGCTAGGATAGGACATAAACTGACAGAAACTGTTTTGTATATTTATATTTTCCCTGTTTACTCTATGTTCCTATTTCTAACCAGTTTGGCCAAAGTGTAAAGCATCTACTCTGTTGGCCACTTTTTTCCAGATGGACTGGATAATGCTCAGTTGAAAATACTTCCCCGAGAAACCCTGGAAGAGTAACCCGCTCTTACGCCTGGATAATAGCACAACCCATACAGATACTGGAGAAGAAGAAAAACGTTGAGGTCATGTGAAAAACACAGAACAAAGGATCTGCTCAAATAAGATTGATAGACAATTAGAGATGCAGAATCATCTCTGACCCAAGTCTTTTGTAACCTACCCTTACCAAGAAAAGAGTGGAACTGGTATATACTCCATTGAAAAAGCAAAAGTGACAAATGTTTTTAGATAAGACTTTTTCCAATGTGTCTTGAATTATCTATGTGGTATAGACACTTCTGAAATAGATTTTCACATGCTCAGCCAGGCACAGAGGCTCATACTTTGGGAGGCTGAGGCAGGCAGATCACTTGAGGCCAGGAGTTCAAGACTAGCCTGGACAACATGGTAAAACCCCATCTCTACAAAAATTACCTGGGTATGGTGTCATGGGCCTGTAATCCCAGCTACTCAGGAGGCTGAGGCATGAGAATTACCTGAACTCAGGAGGTGGAGGTTGCAGTGAGCCAAGATCATACCACTGCACTCTAGCCAGACTCTGGGTGTTAGAGCCAGACTCTGTCTCAAAAACAAATAAATAAATTTTCCTGTGCTCAAATGTTTCATTAAGATATGTCATAATATCTTAAAACAAAACTATTTTCCTCTTTCAAACTGTTAATAAATTTATAATGCACTAGATCTTTAATATATAAGGTAAGAGAAAGGCATGGCCATCATCATTTATTCTCACTAAGTATGATTGGACTTCATAAATTATTCACATATGGTACTAGCACAATAAAATAGCACCTCTTTCTGCATGAATTACATTGTGTGTAGTGAAGTTCCTTTAAAATGCTTTGCTAACATTTTAAATAAAACTCAGGCTCTAATTCGTGTTTGATTCCTCCTATTTGGAAGTACACAGTGTAAGCATCACAGTTGCATCAGCCTCTGGTTTATTTGCATTCATAACATGTGATGCATAATCCTCAAGATATGCCAGGCATTGGGCAGAACTGTGATACTGAAGCAAAGAGTGACTTTATCTCATGACCACTTCTTCTGATATCCTTTTTCCCCTTTGAAACCATCACTGACCACCTGCATCTCCCACCATGATCAATTTATATTTTACCCTATGCCTTTGCAAACAGAGGCAGACTCTCTCCCAGTCTCATATATAAAACAGACACTCGTGACACTCAACTTATCAAAAATTTATCCATCCTAGCATTGGTTCATTGATTAGTGTCATTGTTCTTTGAGACATATTAATGAAATTAACTGATCTAAGATAAAATTATTTTTTAATGTCATATTATATTTAACATTGAATTCTACCTGTAGTCATTAGGTAAGTTAATTATATAAGGATGCATGAAACATGTCCCCTATTCTCAGAGACATTTACAGTATTACAAGCTTTAGGGAAAGAAACAAAATGCATATAAGAAATAGAATAAATGATTTGAATGGGCAGAAGCAGCACAGAGAAATCAATGCCTAATTGGGGATTAACATGGAATTAACTGCAACTTGGAGTGAAAACCACTTTTCTGTTATGAACCTCAATCTTCCTCAGGTATAGGAGGTGATATGGTTTGGCTGTGTCTACACCCAAATCTCATCTTGAACTGTAGTAGCATTCATAATTCCCACATGTTGTGCGAGGGACAGGTGGAAGATAACTGAATCATGGGAGTGGTTTCCCCCATACTGTTTTCATGGTAAAGTCTCACAAAATCTGATGCTATTATAAGGGGAGTTTCCTGTTTCTCTTGGTTCTCATTCTCTCTTGCCAGCTGCCATGTAAGATGTGCCTTTCACCTTCTGCCATGATTGTGAGGTCTCCCCAGCCACATTGAACTGTGAGTCCACTAAACATCTTTTTCTTTATAAATTACCCAGCCTTGGGTATGTCTTTATCAGCAGTGTGAAAAAAAGACTAATTCAGGAAGCAAGAGAGAAGTGCTTTAGTCTACCAGTGTGGACTTCACAGAGGATTCTTACATCTGTCACAAGGCAGGTGCCTGATACATGCTTAAAGAATGACTATTCAAAAGAGAATAGGCTAAAATGGAGGACCACCAGCACAGGTAGGTGGAAGATTTCCTCCCTCCCAAAAATGTAGGCTGTTGGCATACTTCTGAAACCACACAACTTTGATGGTTTCTGCATAAGACAGTCTATTTTTGCATAAACATCTCGGGAGAAAGTATTACTCATCAAAGGGTCTTTGAGATCCCTGAGGACCATATTCTTCCTGGCTGTTTCAGATAATCCTGAAAAAAGGTAGAGGGTGGTAAGCACCAATCTGTCCCTTGGAGGCACAGTTTTCCGCCTTTCTTGGCCCACCAAAGTCAGTGTCCCAGGCACGACTTTGCCTCTCCTCTCTCCAATCACAGACAGAGAAGAGCCACAGTCTCCAGCTGTCTACAAAGACACGAATCCTCCAAGCTAAAACTGCCCTTTATATTTGATCATTCTGGATCTGTACAGAGTTTTTCTCTAAGCATCCCTGTGTGTGTTATGCATGCAGAGAGAGAGCATCTTATTTTTTGTTGTCTATAATAAATTATAAGTATAACAGCGGGAGCTTTTTCAATACTATTTGTAAATGCAGCCAGAGGCTATTAAGTGGTTGGTGTATCAAATAAATATAATTAGTAAATAGCAAAATAACATGTTTTGTAAACTGCCTTCGGAAGTATGTGATTAGACCAAAGAAAACGATTTCTGCCAAAACTTCTAAGTGTTTCCAAGAGATACCAGGAAAAGGCTTTAGCAATTTTTATAACAACTTTAAAAAATGTTCATGTAAATCTGCTAAGGAGGTACACAGTACTCACTCCAAACTCCCTTTGAGTGCCTCACGTTGAAAATTTAAGCATGGGGGTAAACTTAAGTGCACACCATAATTTTTCCAGGGGAGTTAAAATGTGCTTGATTATCGACTATATGTTTTTAAATTGGCATTTGATGAAGTGAAAAAGAAGGAGGTATAAATATACCTCCCTGTGCACAGTGCTCTCAGGCTGTAGAGTTATTCTCAATTAGTAACACTTTAAATTATTCCGGCGACTCAATCAGTTTGGAGGGTGGTGACCTTATCCTGCCTTTCCCTCTTGCTGGCGTTAGGAAAGGAGCTTTGCCTCTCAACAGCAGTGCGCTTCTCACTGTCTGGCAATGAACACAGAAGAGTCACCCAAACCCACTGATTCTTCCTCTAGGAGATGCATTATGTTTGCCCCTTACTCATATTCCCTCATCTGCTACCTGTTACCTCATTTCCCAGCCTCCCATTCCCAATTACATTAATTATTCACTTTTTTATGTGATTCCCTGATAAAGAACCAGCTCTCCATGCATATGTATCAAGCAAAAGTTCAAGCCCTACTTAACTTTCAAGATTCTCCGACTTTTACCTCTGCCCATACCTATAGAATTTAATCTTTTACTAATCCCCAATCAAACCTTCTACTGAAGTTAGGCCAATCTCCTTCACGTCCCATTCCTGGATCCATGTGTCCACCCCACTCTAAGGCAAACTTCCATTTCTCACATTATGCAGGACTTTCTGCCTACAGTGACTTGCCTTCTAAGGCCTAGATATCTTCCCACTAAGTCGGGTTTCTGTTTTTCACAACTGGGCAGGCCCTACTTCGAAATGCTATGCTTTCACAGTCTGTTCCGCATTCTTCTTCTTTTTTTTTTTTTTAAATGCTCTGTCACCCAAGCTGAAGTGCAGTGGCATGATCTCTGTTCACTGCAAACTCTGACTCCTGGATTCAAGTGATTCTCCTGCCTCGGCCTCCCCAAGTAGCTGGGACTACAGGTACACACCACCATGCCCAGCTAATTTTTGAATTTTTAGTAGAGACAAGGTTTCATCATGTTGGCCAGGCTGTTCTCAAACTCCTGACCTCAGGAGATCCACCCGCCTCAGCCTCCCAAAGTGCTGGATTACAGGTGTGAGCCACTGCACCTGGCCTCTTCTTATATATTGTTCCTGTATGTGTGGCTTTTTCCTTGTCTTCTGAGGCAACACCAAGACTGGTGCTGAGCAAAGAGCGGGTAAATAGTGACAACCACAATGGTGATGATGATGACAATGATGAAGTATGTTGATTCTTCACGTATGGAGGCCCTGTGCTAACCAGTATTAATAAATTACGCATCTGGACCCCTAACAACCACATGGGACAGATATGATTAAATGCACCATTTAAAACTGAGACATATAAAGGTCAGTTTGATTAGCTAGTCATCAAAACTGGATTTCAAAAAAGTAGGTATACATCATTATCCTGGAGATATTTAATAATAGAGCCAGTATCTACACCTGTATTACATGAGGAAGAGCATTCCAGTGAGTTCCATGAGAATTCATTTGCTCACCCATTCCTTTAACATACAGGAATCCAGCCCAGCCTATGTGTCATGTGCTGTAGGCTCTAGTGCTAAAAAATAAATCAGTAAAATTGTCCCTGCCCTGAAACAGCTCATGGTCTTGGCAGTCCACAAAACTGTGTCTGTGGTCTTACTTCCCCTAACTTGGAGTCCTAGGAAGGAATAATGTTTGATGCTAAAGAAGAAACATTTGAGAATACATGGACACAGGGAGGGGAGCATCACACACTGGGGTCTGTTGAGGGGATGCTAGGAGAGGGACAGTGGAGGGTGGGAAGGTTGGGGAGAGTTAACATGGGGAGAAATGTCAGATATAGGTGGTGGGGGCAATGGGATGGAGGCAGCAAATTACCTTGCCATGTATGTACCTATGCAACAATCCTGCATGATCTGCGCATGTACCCCAGAACCTAAAGTACAAAACAAAATTTAAAAAAAAAACAGCTGAGATACAAGAGTCATTTGGGGGCTGGAGAAGCAATGACTGATGGTGGGAAACAATGATAAGAAAGGAAAGGCATGTGTAAGGATAGGATAGATAGGGCAAGTGGCTACGACAGCTCTCATAGAAACTTCTGGAAAAGCAAAGACCAAGTAAAGAGTTCCAGAAAAAATAATCTCTGGACCCCTGAGGCAGAATGCTAAAGCCCATATTTATCTGTCTACAGCAGAGGTGTGAATGCCTGCAAAGACCTCAAGGCCGGATCAAATGAGACTGTGCTTCTTTCCAGTTTGGGGCCTCTGGGGATGACTTTAATACTGAGCACTTAGTCATCACATGTTTGATGGCTTCAGCGGCCTCATTTATCAAGGATCTATAGTTAAATTTAATTTTCATGTGAGTGGAGGACAGCCATGGCAGCCCGGCTCCTTGTTGCTGATCTGCCCCCGTTGATGTCTCCTGAAGTGGAAATGATGGATGCCACATGTTCTGGCTGTGATTAAATTTGCTTTGACAAAGCAGCATGGAAATCTGATTTTCAATAGACTTCTGTATTTCACCTAGTGCTGAGTAAACAGATACAGAACATAATGCTTGCACGGCTGTCAGACCGATAGCTAATTCATTGTGGCCATCTAATCAGGCTGTCCATTAAATTATTATTTGTCAATAACATGCAGGATCATTTTTGAAGCTCAGGAATGAGAAGCTTGTTTTTAAGTAAATAAACGTGGAGGGCTTGACGACATCAGGGGTTTTTCCTAGGAAGGTCCAAATAACTCATCAGTCTCTGTGTCTCTCCTCCCCTGAAGAATCAAAGCGCCATTTAAGAAGTTTTTAGTTTCACTTCGCTTGGCTCCCATTTCAAATGCAAGCAATATCATCCAATTACAACAGAGAATGAAGCTACAAACATTGACACTTTAGCTTCCCCAGTTTATCTTTAAAGGAGAATGAAGCAGAAAATCACATTAAGTATGCATCTTATATTAGAGCTTTTAACCTCCTGCCTAGAAATGCTGTGTGCAGACCACCTCCTGGAAACAGCTTCCACTTTAGGGAAACACTAGAGAGAGCTTGGTCTCATCAGGCAAGCAAATGTGGCTGAGAAAATGGTTGTCTATGCTTGTTCCCCTCCCACCCTCTTTTGCTCCATCAGTTTAAGTAGACGATTGGGTTCCTAGTACTATTAGGAAGGTCCTCTTTGTTATCCTGGCACATTTTTATCCTGCAGCCTCATTCTCAAACTCAGACCTCCACGCTTTCTGTAATGTTTTTACTTCCTGAAGTTCAGGTCAACCACCCTCTTTTGTTCAATCAGTGATTTAGGTAGACAATCGGGTTCCTAGTACTGTCAGGAAAGGTTCTCTTTGTTAGCCTGGTGCAGATTTTCTCCTGCAGCCTCATTCTCAAACTCAGACCTCCCAGCTTTCAGTAACTTTTTACTTCCTGAAGTTCAGGTCAAGCTTTTCTCACCTTCTTTGAGCCCCACTTAGAACATCTTCTATCAGCATTCTCCTTTTGAACCTACTCCTTATGAACCAGTCCCATCATTGGCAAATATTTTTCCTGATAAAACCCCAGACCTCAAATGTTTCATTATCGCTGAAGAGTTGCGAATGTGCCACCCATTTTCATCTACATACTAGCTGAAAGAACTTGAGCAAGTTTCTCAAACATGTTAAGCCTTGTATTTCTCATTGGGAAAATAATATGTATATCAAAGAACAGTTGCAGAGATTAAACTGAATAATGTATACGTGGAATAAAAGATTTTTCCCTCTTTTTAGATGCCTGTTATTCCCCATAAAAAAATTCCCCTTTCAGAAGTATAGGAGAGCTGGTTCTCAGTCTTCCTGACAGTCAGTCCTAGCTTCCCAGGAAAAGGTGACTACACACTGAGGCCTGGCTGTACTTTGGATCCAGCCTGGGATGGGCCCTACCCCTGCTGGGGACCAGGTTGGGCTCAGGTGACCAGATGGCTTGCTGTTGCTTGTCTAGCCTCTCGGCTTTGGGAAGTAGGTATGTTCTATTTAGGAGAGAAAGAGAAGGAATCCCACATGGGCCTCAAATCCAAGATGCTTTCTTCCTCCGGCTTTGTCTGTGATAAAACTGATATCAGAGACCATTGTGTTTATTTCTCAAAGGTGAAAGGACTCAGGAGAGAGGCAGCAGGAATTACTTATTACATATGTTGCCCCAACAGTGATGACTGGTACATATCAGCTACTCGATTTCTAGTGGCTTTTATAATAAAAAAAAGTAATTCTATGAGATAAGGAATAGTGGCAATGGTTGCTGTTATGATTGTCATTGTCTCATTTGGCCTTCTCAACACCCCAGGTAGGCAAGTAAGGCAAATATAACCTCCGTTTCACATATGAGGAAATGAGGTTTCATAGATATCTGGGGATTTGCTCAAGTTCACAAAACTAGTAGGATTCAGAACAAGGAGATCCAGGCTTGTAATGCCCAGTCAAGTGCACCTTTGAAACGTAACCACACACTGCTTTTTTACTGTATGTGTGTGCAGGAGGATGGAATCCCAGAGCAGATGGAATTCCTCCACAGTCCCCTGAGTTCTGAACATCTCTTAGATTCAGTCTCTCAGTATAAGCTTTCTTTTCAGCTTCTTTGACCTCAGTCCATTGTGCTAGTTTCCTTACTTAAAGTATTTTGTTGCCCAAATATGTGCACCCTCAAGAAAACTAGAATTGTCAAATCGCTCACTGTAGAGATGACCATAATCCAGCCGATGACCCTGTCTTGCCAGACGGATGGTAATGGCTGCAAAAGCACTAATGGGCCACAGACCACCCTCTGCCCTGTTGACCTGCACTGGAGAGCAATAAATAGAAGAAACAGCTCAAGGCTTAATTATAATTATCATAAACTGAAATTTATGCTAACTAGCATCCAGCCAAAACAAAGAGGGAACATTCTCAGAACACTCTGCTAAACTTTGAGCTTAAAATGATCTTATAGTAACAAGCTATAAATAAATCACATCTTCCACAATATGTGTAAAAACAGTGAATGAGCATCTATAAAATACGGTTTAATCCAAGGAACTTCTCATTTTTGCAAATATTAATTTGTCACCAAATCAGGAGGAGAAATTGGATCTCTCAGAGTCTGGCTATGGGGCAAGATGGCAGGGAAGAGGGGTTTGCAAACTTTTATTTATTACAAATAAATTCATTGTTAATTAGGAGAATGATTAGCATAATGATGAGGGCATAAAGGAGGGCGATTGGAGAGAAAAAGTGGAAAGAGATATGGCTAGAATATATTGGAAATACTGGAGATATTCTCTAATCAGCATTTAACAATACTCTAAAGATGAGAAGCTTAGAAGCAATAATGATCTAAATCATTGCTACACAGAATGTGGTCAATAGACCAACTGCATGGAATTCATGTGAAACTTGTCAGAAATGCAGAGTCATCAGATCTGCTAAATCAAAATCTGCAATTTGACAAGAACCCAGGTGATTCTAATGCACATTAAAATTTGTGTCTCAAGAGGATACTGGGTGACTGACAAGAGTTTGAGGATAAATGATCAATAAGAAAACAGCATAGCCAGGGCAGCCAACTGGGGTTTTTTTGTAGTAGTCCAAGTGATTGATGATAAGGACCAAACTGTCACTGGAAATAGAACAGAGGAAATAGATTTGAAAGATGTATCACAAATAGAAAGAATGGTTTTAGAAACTGACAAGTTAGGCCAGGCATGGTGGCTCATGCCTATAATCTCAGTCTGGGGTGCGAGTATCACTTGAGCTCAGGAGGTCTAGACTGTAGTGAGCTATGATTGGTCTACCGTACTCAAGCATCGGTGACAAACTGCTTCCAAAAAAAAAAAAAAAAAAAAGAAAAAGAAAAAGTAAACTGATTAAAGAATATCTGTGTAAAGGAAGAATTAAGATGAAGTTCTGAGGCTTCTATTCTGGGTCATCTTTCAAGCAAGGGGTTATCTTATATTCTCACAACCTATTTCAAATCCGGCACTGAGAGGGTATGCACTACATGTAAGCTGAATGACTGCATTTGCTGTCCAGATCACAGGATTTCAAATTACGTTCCATTAATCCCTAGGAATCTGAGGAGTTACTTTGGGAGTTGAAAAGAGGAAGTCGAATGGGTAGTGCTCCAAGTCCTTACTCCCAAACTTTATTTGCGAAACAAACAAAAACAACAAATCCATCTTATTTTCTTAATAAAATCCTATGCAGTTTGTCCACTGCCCATATTCTAAGTAGCAATAATTTTGGTCACTGTTTTTCTACCTGTAAATGCGTCATCTTCGGAGCATCACTCAATGCTCATTGGAGACTATCTCCAATTTAATCATAGGGCTTCAAGTCTAATTTCTGATCTGTTACCCTCCATATTCTTGGATTCATGTTATTCCTTGAGGTATTGAGATAAATAAAATTTGGACACACTTGGCCTCATTACCAGCAACCTCTAGAATAATGGAGGGGAGAAGTGAGCATTGTTTAAAATAGACAGTTTGCTCTTGGATAATAAAAGATAAGGGTGATCCTATCTAAATTTATATTAAGAAAACAATACAATAGAAAAAAAGACATTATAAATGCAGATAAATACAATGAGATTTATCTATAATATTAAAAATATTAAAATCACATTAATGGTTAATAAGCAAAAATCATAAATGAATTATGTCACATTTGGTTTATACAGTAAAAAGCAAAGTTGAGAATAATGTTTATGAAGATCAAGACTCCACATATTAAAAAGTTTACAATAAAAAGATAACCGAATAGTGAAGAATATAAAATATTAGATAACTATGGTTGCGATTATAGAAGTTCATGTATGCATATGATCAAAAGGTTGAAAGGTATATATATGGATAAATAAGATTGAGGTAAAATACAGACACATGAATCATCAGTAAATTTCAGGTTCTAACTTGCAAATATGAATATATCTGAATGCAGTGCATTCTTACTGTTTCTGCCCTGGCTACCCTGATTCAAGACTTCATCTCTGAATTTGAGCATCTTAACTGGGCTCCATACAGCCCCTCTTATGATATGCCCTTGTCTTCTGTAGCTACATAATATTTTACATATAAATTAGATCTTGTCATACCCCATGCTTAAATTCTACCTCTGTCATTCCATTATACCTAGAATATAATCCAAATTTCTAACTCTAGATCAGCAGTTCTCAGTTTGGCTTCAGGAGCTCTTTAAATTCCTAACAAATATTGAAGAATCCAAAAAGCTTGTTTATGTAGGTTATGTCTGCTGATATCTACTGTATTTGAAATTAAAAAATGGGAAATATCAGAAATGGTAGTTTACTAATTTGTTTATAAAAGGTACTAGTAAACATATTTCATGGTACGAACATATTTTTATAAAAGGTACTAGTAAACATATTTCATGGTATGAAATATTACACTGACTTCCTCCCAAAATCTGAAAAGTGTGCCATTGTTTTATATTTTGCAAATCTTTTTACTGTCTGGCCTAATAAAAGACAGCTGGATTATCCTATCTACTTCTGCATTTATCCATTTTGATATGTTATTTCATTGAAGGGTATAAAGAAAATCTAGCCCTGACAAATATGTTCAAAAAGTCATGGATATCTTAGCAGTATATTCAGATAATTGGGGATATTTTTATTTGATACGACATATAAGTGGTAACATTTTCAGAGTTAGTTGCAATGTGGAATCTGAAGCTTTATCAGTGAACCCTTTGTAGAGTGCTATAGTAAAACACATTGTTCTGTCTTGAACTTTGAATGAATATTTTTCCCAGAGATGATTTTTGATATTATGGATTAAGCATTGGAAACTATAGGTTCACTGAGTTATGCAGAACTTTTAAATATTGACATATTTTATTACATAATATCAAAACATATTTATTAATTTCACCAATTTCATCAGTGTTAGACCCCTGTCAAGCAGCTCATGGAGGTTGACACAAGTTTTCCAAAAAGTTCTAATACTCTCTTGAAAGTTTAAATGTTATCATTACCAACAAATAATGTCATTTGTTTTCCTCAAAGTGATAAAGTTCACTTTTGAAGTAATAGCTTCATTTTTAAGAAAATGCTTGCTAACTACCTGAGTCTGAATAACTAATTTGTAAGACATTACTTGTTTCAAGTAAAAACAACGTTCCATGAAAAACACTGCAAGTAAAGCTTACGATTCAATCGCCCCGGTGCTTTTCCTTGGGACAACCTTTTTATCTGAGTATGCGGTAGAGGTATTTAGCATGTATTTCTCATCTCATTAAAAAGAATGTTAAAAAGATGTGTACTCACAGATTAAGATTTAATGCAATTAATGATTTCACTGCTTTACCAAGGTCATTCTTAAGTGAACCTGGCATTATGTGTGCTGGTCTGAATGGCAATGAGAATACAGGGGCTAGAAGAGTTTAGTGTCCCCACCTTGAAAGGCGCTAGGGCTCCACCATGGCTTCCATCATCAGTGCAAATATTAACACACTAAAATAGCTTTGACCTTGAAGACACTCCTGACAGGTCTTGGGATCTCCAGGGGGTCTGTGAACTATACTTTGGGAACAATGCTACCTACTTAGCCACAGCATCTGCTACGAGCCTCCTGCCTCCCTCTGCCCCAGCCACAAGCACTTGCTTTAACACACTCACCTTGCGTCTGCCTCAGTGACTCTACATTTGCAGTTCCTTCTGCTGGTGATCCTCCCACCTGTGAAGCTCACCTCCTTATCACTTGTAACTTCTGTTCAAGGGATATCTCCTCCAAGGTGCTTTATCTGACCCTCTTATCTACAAGAGGGTCTGTCTTTCCCAGCAGAGCCTTGGGAAATTCTCATACTCTGCTCTACTTTCTCCATTCCACTCACCACTAACTAGAATTACATTATATATTTACTGACTTATTTGTGAATTGTCTGCTTCCCTGCACTCAAATATAAGCTCTATGAAAGCTAAGACTGTTTTATTTGCCACCAGAGTTCTAACATGGTACTCAATAAATACTGTCTGAACAGATTAACTTAATTTTAAAAAATCCCTTAAACACTGTTGCTATGCTATTTTTTAATAAATAAAGGAGAGTTTTCTAAATCAATGGGGTCCAGTAAAAATATGTGAGCCCAGCGTGATGATTCATGCCTGCAATCCCAGCAAGTTGCGAAGATGAGTTGGGATGATCAATTGAACCCAGGAATTTGAGGCTGCAGTGAGCTGTGATTGTGCCACTGCACTCCAGCCTGGGTGGACACCGTTTCTAAAAAAAAAAAAAAAAAAAAGGAAGAAGAAGAAGAAACTAGATCACGGCATTTGCTTTCTCCTATACCTAATGAAATGAAGAAAAACACTATAAACAGTAGCTAGTAATGATAATAACAATAATTATCAGAAGCAACTTAATAAGAAAAGAGTCCAACTATACACCTTAAGCTTTGCTAAAATGGTGGCCATGATTAAACAGAACAACCACTCCCAATCCAACCCCTAGAAATGATACCAGGGGAAAAGAGGTGAGCTGCCAATTTACTGAGAATCTTCACTGATACCTCCTAATTTGTAGAGGATTAGAAGAAGCAGGTGAGCAGACAGCCTAGCCCTTAACTAACACTGCTGGATCTCAGCAGAAATAAAATAAATCCCCCACAGCACCACACTGATTAGAGGAAATAATTTTAAGTCTCCACACAGCATCTAGAGTGACCTTTCTAAAATGCAATTCTGATCATGCTACTCACTTATTTGAAATCCTTCACTGGTACACCTCATCCTCAGGGTAAATTCCAAGCTCGTCAGCGGCTCTTCACACAGGTTCACTGTGGTTGGGATCTGTGTCCTCCCTGGATCTTTACCAACCTTCATCTTCATCTTCCCATATGCGTAATTCACCTTTAACAAACTGAACAAGCTGCAGTTCCCCAAATTAGAAATCTCTGTACCTGTAACTAAGGCACTCCATCTGCCCGGAATACATTATCTTCTCTTTTCCTAGCTAGCTCCAAAAATCCTCTAAATTCAACTCAGTAACCTACTGAAAAACTTTCCTCTGCACTCAGTTTATCTAATATTGCATGCCTGTATTCATCCAATGTCCTGTGAATGCCTAAAGGGTATGCATACACAGTACTACAACTGCGGCTTTCCTTGTATATCTTGCGGACCAAAATACAAAGTTCTTGAGGTCAGGAACAGTGTCTTTAATTGCTTTGTCTCCAGAGTCTAACATAATGGCCACTTCATGGTTTACACAGTAAGTAGCTGAAGAACAAGTGAATTAATATGTTTAGATTTGCTATTTACTGATTCTCATCACGTCCATACCTAATAGGTACATTATAAAAGAAACTTGATAATGAGACCAAAGCCTTCTAACTAGATGGCAAAATAATTTCATTTGAAGATCTTTCAAAGTCATGGATTTGAAGTCATCTTAAATAATTGATAACAAAACAGATAATTAAAGACCTGAATTTGTGTGTTTGAGAGGGGTGTGTGTGTGTGTCACTAAAATGTCAGAAAATGTCCACAGCTCCTGCCTTATTACATTGTAAGTAGCTGGTATAACCTGTTGGCTATAGAGATAACAGCCAATCTTCCTGGAGAAGCAGCAGAGCAACCTGAAAATTCAGAGTCCACTGGTAATTAGGAGGGTAGGGGAGGTAAACAGAAAATGGAATGGGTGGCTATAGAAATATACCAGTTTCTAACCTTCCATCTCTATTCTAGCAGGTGCCAATAATGAGCAGCTCAGAATTCACTTCCAGGCAAAATAAACAAAGTAACCGCCCCCATCTATTTTTAAATAGAAATTAAGCAAACTAGTATGAGAAGAAAGATTGAAGGCCAAGTTGTCAGTCT